CACTACTTATTTTTCTGACGACATACCTGTACTTTCTACTTCTTACATGTTGAACACAAATACCTGTACTTTCTACTTCTTACATGTTGAACACAAATACCTGTACTTTCTACTTCTTACATGTTGAACTCAAATACCTGTACTTTCTACTTCTCCCATGTTGAACACAAATACCTGTACTTTCTACTTCTTACATGTTTTGAACACAAATACCTGTACTTTCTACTTCTTACATGTTGAACTCAAATACCTGTACTTTCTACTTCTCACATGTTGAACCCAAATACCTGTACTTTCTACTTCTTAGCAGTTGAACACAAATACCTGTACTTTCTACTTCTCACATGTTGAACCAAAATACCTGTACTTTCTACTTCTCACATGTTGAACCACAAATACCTGTACCTTTCTTACTTCTTACATGTTGAACTCAAATACCTGTACTTTCTACTTCTTACATGTTGAACCACAAATACCTGTACTTTCTACTTCTCACATGTTGAACCCAAATACCTGTACCTTTCACTTCCTTACATGTTGTAACCCAAATACCTGTACTTTCTACTTCTTACATGTTGAACTCAAATACCTGTACTTTCTACTTCTCTCATTTTCCAAACAGCTGGTTCCTTTAGTCTGAATATGTGTTTGATGCATGATCATTATTCTTTAGAGTCATTGCGTGCCTATTGATTTGAACACGATCCGTGTATCCATAATTTCCTGGTCTTCTCTAAAGAAGAGGGACCAATGGAAACGTTGTCATGTTGCCGTTGTTCAGCATGGAAACATTCATTAGCTAACAATGACATTATTGTTCTATTAATATAAAGGGAGGTCAGGTACTCTTTAAAACAGATGGTAGTTATAGCCTACTTGATACTTAAGTACATTTCGAAGCCCATACTTCTTTACTTTTACTTAACTTGAGTAAAGAAGTTTAGTCAGTACTTCTACTTTTACCAGAGCATTTTTAAACACGAGTATCCGTACTTCTACTTGAGTAAAGGATGTGTGTACTTTTGCCATCTCTTCAGCTCACTCACGTTTTCTTGAAGAGCCCCCCCAGGCTGCTGCCCACCAGCAGGAAGAACTGCTGGGAGAAGAAGACCCAGGTGATCTGCTGCAGGCTGGAGTGGGTCTGACAGCGGAGGTCCAGCACCGTGGGGCCCAGGAAGGCGATGCACAGCCCGAAGCTGAAGAAAACACTCCAGTAGGTGAGCGTGTATTTCCAGTGGCACTTAAACAGCGCCCAGATCCGCTCGTCTAGCAGCTTCATGTCGGAGCTTCACCTCCGGATCTCTGCGGAGCTTCTCATGAATCTGACTCAGTGTGAGCAGCTCTGTCAGACAGACCTCCACTCAATACCGGAGGAGAAAGTAAACACAGTCTGACCAGTCCGGGCACTTTCCCAGTTTAGTGCCACTTAGCTGACTGACGCTGATTGGCTGATAAACCAATGTACCGCCCACTGGGTGGATGCTTACAGATCCAGTGATGAAGTTGGAGCTACTGTAATTGTTGTTTTTATTTATTATTGAGTGGCGCAGTGATGAGTCCTAAAACCCGGAAGTGAGTTAGCATTTTACCACTACCGGTTCCCTCATCTAGGGAGTCAATGGGATTTCTCCATAGGATTTTGCAAAATTGCTTGAAATAATTAGGTCTGTGGAAAACGAACCTGTTTGATAGATGCACGTTTTGTTCAGCCGGATAATATCCACATGTCTACCCTACTTTTATAATTTTCGAATCATAAATCTAATCGCCAGAAGCAACAGGCTAACGTTATGCCATAGAGAGGCGAAGTCCCTCCTCTTCCGGTGGACCTCCTTGGGACCTTATTTCGGAAAAATTATGTATTGAAGTCAATGGAGAGAGAAACGTTATCTTTCGGTCCCGTTTGAATTGTGCCACGAATTACACATATGATGTTTGTCAATTTAAAAGATAATTTTGCAAGTCAAAACATTTAAAATGTGTCGTAAAACTGTGAAGTAACACTTTGTTGTGTGTGAAACGCTCAACTACATCTCTGGTCTCGCACACGTCACCAACACCAAGATGGCCGTCACGTTAGCACAGTTCACCTCTTTCTTTCAGAATGAGGCGAAAAGTATTAAAATAAGTGAAAATCACTCCAAGTCTGGGCATGTTGAGAACTGTACATACGGAAAAGGGGAGTTAGTCGGTTCCGTAAGAGCCAGCATGCGGGACCGGCTTTACAAGGTTTCGGTGCACAAGTGTAATGTGTAACGTTAATGACATCACTTACGCGACTCTGGGATTTGTAGTCTTTCAATTTCATATTTAAAACAGTTTTACGACAAACTGTGACTTTTTTGACATGGAAATTATTTTTTAAGATTGACAAACATCATATGTGTAATTCGTGGCACAATTCAAACGGGATCGACAGATAATCTTTCTCTCTCCAATAGGCGCATTCACACCGCAGTACTTTTCCCACAAAGGTTCATGAGAACTCTTTTATCGCGTTCACACCAAAAAGAGCCGGTACTAAAATTAGTTCATGAGAACCTTTTTACCCCCACGAAAGTCCCTGCTAGAGAGCAGGGACTTTCGTGCGGCTCTCTTGTAAGAAAAGAGCTATATTTCTGATTGGCTGGGCGGATTGCAAACCACGCCCCGTAAAACTCCCAAAAAGTTTTGTGAAGCCGCCATTTTATTATCCTTGCATTAGCATTATTAGCATTAGCATTAGCCCAGCGCAGAAACGCAGAGAGACTAACTTATGGCAACACAACATAAAACATGGGAGCGGTGGAGATGAGGTGTCGGCGTTCTGGCGATTAACTCCCAGCAGCTTCTACTGAAGCTAGTCCCCAACTCCGGGGACTTCCGGCCGGGCACTTTGGGTGGCAGTATACGCCGTGAAGTGGTTTGCGGCCTGCCAGTAAACCCAAAGCAGAAGAAGAAGAAGTGACGTCAGCGGCTTAATTTGCCTAATCCTCCCCAGGGACTTATTCCGGTGTGAACGCGATCTGTACTTAGTTCATGAGAACTAAAGAGTTCTCATGAACTAAGTTCTCATGAACCTTTGTGGGAAAAGTACTGCGGTGTGAATGCGCCTATTGACTTCAATACATAATTTTTCCGAAATAAGGTAGATGGGCGGGACTTCGCCTCTCTATAAACGAACTACACCGAGTACAGCAGGGTCGCACGACTTAAACGTCACGCCAACTTAAGATCGATATTCAAACATACAGATTCAAAATTGTACAAGTTGAAGCATTAGTTTGAACAGTTTGCAGGAGGCAGGTACTTGCTTTCAAGCAGAACAGGGGCAAAGAAACTTAGCGGGAGTGTTTACGTGTTCGGCATAATGATGTACAAAGTCCTCGACAACTTATGTAGTCCTATTCAGCCACTTGTTAACAACCATCGTTTTTCAGACACGTAAACTCTTCAGAAATCACCAGTGCTCCACTGCTGATGGATTTAACGTTGTAGAACAAAACGTGATCCGTCTCTTAAATTTAAAACCTTATTTTGAGCTATTTTCCAAAATCCTATGGAGAAATTCATTCATTATTAATTGTTATGATTGTTGATTAACAGTCCCAAAAGATAAAAGTGTCAAATTAATATAAAGAACGCTGGTTTTTGTTCTTCAAAACGGGAAAGCAAATATTGAAATGAAGAAACAAATGAACATTTTCTAAAAAAGTGACTATGCATATGGATGAATATATTTGTGTGAATAACAATATGTTCTCATTGTTGCAGTGTTATAGCCTGCTTTTTGGACCAATTTATAATGATCTATGTCATACATTACATGTTAGACGCTTTTATCCAAAGCGACTTACATACTGTGGACAATCCCCACAGGAGGAATTTGGGGTGAAGTGTCTTGCCCAGGGACACAACGACATGCTGACTGCAGTGGGGTTTGAACCTGCCTCCCATACCAGTATGCCTAATACATTTGCTAAATTCTCATGTTGAAGACCGTTTAAAACCCCCACAGTTTTTCAATACAAAGTGACGCCCTTGGATGTAGCAATTAAACACTTTACTAGAAGAAATGACTTAAGCACAAGCAAATCTTAACCCTGCGTTTATATATCCATCACTGAACCAGTTGTCTACATATTTAATTTAATGTACTTCATAAGACAAGCTGAGAAAACAGTGGGAAATGTATCGGTGGGGCTTTGACAGGCCGTGGTGGAAAGTAACTAAGTACATTTACTAGAATACGTTTCTTAATTGGAAGTATTTCTATTTTATGCTATTTTTATTAGTAAATCATAATTTAATAAAACACTCAGCACTGTCACAGTCCACAGAAGGTCAGATTTGACTCATGATGTTATAACTCTTGCTGTTATGCAATGTTCCAGTGCAAGAATTAGAGCGATAGCACCATCTTCTGTTCATCTATGTTATTGTACATTTACCCTTATACTACCTCCTCAAAGAAGTACATCATATTGTAAAAATAACCTCGTAAATAGTTGAAAAAAGGTGAGTGTGTGCCAGAGTTTCCATAGTTTATTTATTCATTAATCAATCAATGACTCAATCAATGTTATGCCTTTTGGCAGTCACAGTACATTCAATTTCTCATAACAGTGTAGACAAATCCCACAAAATATCACATCTCATACAAAATCTAAACTTATCTTTTATAAAACATTTAGACATCTACAGGTTTTTTTCTTTATTATACTTTAAATACAGCTTTCTATTTTTAAACGGCATAAAACTCACTGAGAAAGATGAAAACATCTGTTAAAATACATATATATTATTTCTTTTTCATTACAGTATTTAAAATAGCTTCATTTACCACGACTAAATGCACAGTAATACTTCTGCCACTGAGGGGAGGAAGGGAGAGGTTGGAAGAGTAACACCCACAGACATACATCCCTCTGAAGTTTCTCTACTCTGCTTTTAACTTGCTCTTTCTGACACATGAACGGTGAACGTGAATCTTCATTCAGCGTAATTCACTTTACTTCTACCTTTGTAGTCTCTGAACAGTCTCTTTTGCTCTTAGTAAACAATCTAGCCTCATAGGTCCTAATCATGTTAGGACGGTGTTGGGGCCGTGGTGGCGAAGTCGATAGGGGCTTGGCAACTGGAAGGTCACCAGTTCAAGTCCCGGCGAGACCAAGTTTTGTTTGTTTGTAGCCTTTATTTAACCAGGTGAAAGCCCCTTGAGATCAAAAGATCTCTTTTTCAAGGGTGACCTGCAGGTGCTACCGAGGTGTCCCTGAGCAAAGCACCGTTCCCCACACTGCTCCTAACACTAGGATGGGTCAAATGCAGAGAAACAATTTCCCCACGAGGGATTAATAAAAGTCCATCTTAATCATATAGAAGTTGTCTTTATAAATCAAACGTAACTGTAGACTTGCAGTAGATTTCTTGAAGACGTTTTGCCTTTTATCCAAAAAGCTTTTCTCAGTTCTCAGTGACATGTTAGGAGTGCAAGCAAGAGGACATATCATTCTAACTTTCAGGTTCATATTTTGTGTCTCTATTGTGGCTTTAATGTTCAAAAAGCTCTTTATTTTTCTCATATTGCCTGTGCTGCAGCACCTCTTTTCACCCTCTGTCTGAAACCAGAGCCCAGTCTGCAAGAATAGTCATGTGAGAGTCGTCAGTTCTACAGTATGTATGGACAATGGGGCATTACATGTACTGTATGGACTACCTCAAACAAAGTCCTTATTGGATGATCTTTACCTTTTTAACATTGGGACTTAAAATGCAGCATTCAACAATTTCTGTAAAAGTCTCTAAAGATAAAACGTGAGAAGCATGTATGTCCCATACAGCACGAATAGACACAATTTGAACTTCTCCCAAGCTTTCAAGAGGAAAGACTGTACTTTGTTAACCCAATTAGAACGGTTATTACGTGTCCCAGTTATGTTCTTGATATAAAATCACATTTTGGCAATTGAGGGCTATCTTCACGGTTCAAATTGCCAATTAATGAGGGAAATGGATATGGTTAGAAATCTGTTCAGCTAATACGGACACAGCAATCTCTAAAGAAAATAGGACAACTGTCTTTAGGGCGTAGGTTGGAAAGAGTATAACATCAGTAAGCCTTAAGCCGTAGGAGGGTGATTTGATCATTTGATCTAGAGATGATTAAATTGCTGCGGATATTCATTTAAGGAACATAGATGATAGCTGTTGCCTTCAGAGGTGATTAGACAACAGACCTATTTCGTTTTAACCATACCTCGGCCTGAATACCCGCATGTCAATCAGAACTGAGTGAGCCTTCAGATGAAAGGCTTAATGTCTACTTCTGGATTTCATATGACTTGTATGACGGGGAATTTTCTTCGACCTGCAGCAGATGGAGAGGGCAGATTAAGGAGAGGGCAGTTTAGCCGCAAACCCTTATTCATTTGTGTCCACAGATCCCTCCTGTATGCATAACCCCTGGGCTAAGTCACATGTAAAGAACATTATATAAGGAAGATTTGATGGTTTCACTTCAGCATATTCTCTAGTTTTTCTTAGTCACACCATATGTTCTATATTTAAACGCTGCTCCCTGGCAATTGCTGTGCAAAAAATAAGGGATAGTGGTGAGTCCTACTAAGAGCTATTTGCTACCAGACAGTATTTGTAGGTAAGAATATCAGAGCTTAAGGACGTCGGTACAATATGTGGTCATATTTAGGAACCATGAATAGGAGGACACATAGGAAAGGAGTAAGCTTCAGAGGACACTTCTGGTTTGTGCAAATAGGAGACTAAGAAATACACACACTCATGGTGCGTTGTTCACACACACAACAAAGCAAAATTTGCCTAACACATTGGCTACACTAGATTAAAAGAAAGGATTCTTCACAAGCTGAAATATCATGCACATTTTACTAAGGCAACTTCAAAAACTGGAGTGTAAGTCAGCTCTTAACACTGGATGTACTGAAACAAATCTGTCGACATTAATCCATTTTACATTGGAGTTTTGTTACGTGATGGAGAATCTTTTGGCTGGTTCAATGTTTGTTTCACATGAGTACAATTACTTTAAATGAACAGTGTGTTGCTACTACTTCAGTGTTCTGACTGCTTGGGAATGTACCACTTCAAGACTCACATCCATAGCTGCCATATTTGGGACTCTTCTGACAGGTGTCCAACCATTTAATAACACATAAATCGTTTAAGTTGTTTAAATCATCGCAGCTTCTTAGCTAGCTTGCTTCTCCCGGTAGCTAACTATTATTAGCGCCATATATCATGTTTTAGCTAGCGTACTTTGTTAATTTGACCGATTTAACCATTGCTTAATTAGCCTATAAGATTATGTATAGCTCACGCATACATACATTGTTTAATTGTTCAAACTCTTGTCTTGTAATTTAACAAGTTCCCATTAGCACGAAAGGCCTTAGCCACTGTTAGCATTTTGGGTATTTCAGCAACCTGAGGGCACTTTGGGCTTTTAATAAGCGGTTATTTTTAGATTAAATATGTTTTCTCTACTTTTAAGTCAGAAACACAATGATGAAATCTATATTTTATGTGTTAGCTACTGTATTTAGTTGACCCTTTGTGAAATGTTAGATGCTAGCAACCTCATGATAGCTTTTGGCTGCTCAATTAGCTTGTTAGCTTATCTATAGCTAACAAATACATAAATTATTTAAATGTTCAAAGTCTTTACTCGTTATTTAGCTAGTTCCTGTTAGCAGGCTATTTAGTCGCTATAGAAACCCTCTCGTTGGTTTCTGGTCATAGTGTTTGGAGGTTTGTAAGAGGTGCATTTGGGGAATTTATGATCTTAGCATTAATATTTCGAGCTGCGAGATAATTTTTTGCAGTTCAGAAGTGGAAGGTGAATCTTTAAGCTACATTTGACTAGAGACAAGCCTTAATCTTAGTCAGACAAACATTTAGCACATTTTTTCAACAAGTTGTTTGACTGAACGGACCTCTACAACCTTAATGTCTGCACCTGCAAGTGTATAGAGGTTCCAGATGTGCTATAGCTACCTTAAATGGCTGATGCCCTGGGTGTGCTCTAAATGGAAACTATTCAAGTTTGCGTACACTACAACAGAGCAGCTTGTATTTTAGGGGCCTAATGGTCAGAATCATGAGCTATAATGCATATGTGTGTCAGCAGAATAATTATACATCTATCATGTTTGAAAATAAGTAATGGGAGCATGTTCAGTGTCGTCGATTGTGCAAATGTGTGCAAATATGTTCTGTATGAGTGTATCTCTGCTCAGTCATTTCACAAGTGTATTTCCAGAAACCATGTGTGAGTCTCCGTGGTGAACTTCCCTGGAAATAAGTGAGTGCACACGAGTCTGTGTGTACATGTAGGTGTGTGCACACAGGTGAGCATGCTTGTGAACGAGCTGAGCTTTGATGGCCTTTGTGCTTTCGTAGGAAAAGGCGACTTCTCTCCTTTGAGCGTCTCTGATCTCCTCGGTGACGTCTAGAAGATGCTCTGTCTTCGGTTCTTTCCTCGACCTAAAGAGAGACAAAATGAGATTGAACTCTTTTTGAAAGAATGATGATTATTCACTGTTGGCTAGATTGAAATATATGATACAGTTTGGTTGCAATGACTCATATATCTAGATCCAAATTCTGTACTTCATGTAATCTCTACACTTGTAAACCGACGAGTTGCAAACAATAAAAAAAAGATTAAATAATGTAAACTTTAAATAAATTAAGCATTATGAGTTAGGCCATGAAGTTCAATAACTTTACCAGGGGGAAGTAAAGTCATAGAGGGACATGTTAAGTACATTAAGACATTATTAGAGTATATAAATAAATACATGTATGACAGTAATCTGTATTGAATTAGTCCTTGCTCACTTAAATTGTCTTTACAGTTCTTATCAGACTTGTGGTATTTTTATTTGTGTAATAGCAAACATTGCAGAGCTCTGCTAATTAGCAAAGTCAGCAGTCACTACATGAGTTGAGATGTTGTTGTCAGGGATAACACATAGGTTAGTTTAAATATGTTTCATAGCAGACAATCTGGAAACGTACCGAGTTATCATGCAATAAATATCAGTGAGACTCAAAACATTTGTGTTATATTAAAATTGACTTTGAGAATAATAAACAAACTCGTGTGAATGCATGGCATATACACACGATGTGCATAGGTATACAGACGAGAAGAACATAGTCAACTTAGTCTGGTAAGTCTAGCTTCTCCGGATCAAATGAGGGGCTTTCCTTTAGAGCAGTGTTTCTCAAACTTTTTCATACCAAGGACCACTTAACCAATAAAAAAATACTCGCGGACCACCTAACTCCACACATATCCAAAAACACATTGTTTTTTACAAATCGCCTGAAAATGGTACAAACAAGTGGCCACATGTGTGATGAAGGTGTTGCGCTGGGCTATATCATGCAATCTAAAGTGAAACTTAAGCTTGCTCCATTGCGGAGATATTCCCGCGAGAGTGCGGAAAACTTAAATTTATTTATTTATTTCAAATGTGAAATTTTACCAATATACTCACGGACCACTAGGGGGCGCTCACGGACCACCAGTGGTCCACGGACCACACTTTGAGAAGCACTGCTTTAGAGATACTAACTTCTGGTAATAAATAGTGTTTGCAGCAGGATCTTACCTAAAGGCTGAAACACTGAGCTGCGGTGGCCTGGGTCCTTCTGGAGCTGGAGCTCTTTGAGGGAAAACACTGAAGCAGCTAAACACAAAAAGGGACAGAGGATGACTTCGAAGCATGAAAATTAGGTATGTTTCAGGATCACTGGAAAACTGCTTCTCCGCTTTAAGAGCGATAAAACACAGAGGTTGACAACATTGACGTAGAGTTTAGCTAACAGGCTATATGCTTATAATAAAAGACATAGACAAACAACTAAATAAGACAGATACTTTAGCCAAATGCAAGGTTTCAAAAATGATAAGAGTTCTGGTGATCTCAGCACTTGACTTGAAAACAATGGCATGGAGTTTAGCTAACAGGGTTATGTGGTAATAATAAAAGACATTGACAAAAAACTACAAAAGGCAGATATGTTGCCACATGCGAGTTTAAAAATGTGGTAATGGTATACACTTATATAAGAATTCTGGTTAGCACTTCAATGAATTTAAACCCAAAGCTCTTAAAACTAACAATGTGTTTTGTCACGTATTTTCAGATGTTATTCCTTGTTAGCAATGTGCAGTTCATGTGCACTTTTGGAAAGGCCACCGCTAAGAAGGCAAAGTGGCACTTTTCAGAAGAAGTTGAGTCATACTGTATGTTCACAACCACACAACTCAAAGTGTGTGTGTGTGTGTGTGTGTGTGTGTGTGTGTGTGTGTGTGTGTGTGTGTGTGTGTGTGTGTGTGTGTGTGCTTACTGTCTGCCAAATTATGTATATTATTTCCCAGACTGGTGAAGTAGGGGTATCGTAGAGAGGCTTCAGCAGAGACTCTGCTCCTGTTGTCGTACTGCAATCACAGAATAAAAGCAGCACATTAATCACAGTCCACTTCTTCTCACATTCAGGTGAGTCAGTCCTTTTTCTTTGTCTCATACCAGCAGCAGAGCAGTCAGCATGTCGATCCCTTCTGTGTCCAACCTGATGGAGAGAACAAATAAAATCAGTCTGTATGACTATTAAGGGAACAACTACATGCTGATTAGGAAAGTACATACACATTAGCTTCAATTGTTTGTGTTTTCCACAAATGATCCCCCAAAAGGTCTATATTTTTCAAAGCAATAATATATTTTATTAGTAAGCTAAAAGATGGACAGATAACTTGCTTTTTCGAATACAATTTTCTTATAAAGGGTGGATTTTTTCTTTTTTCTACGACATAAAAGGCAGTAAATAGTAAATACCCCACTTTTTTAAGCTTCTTTGTGTCTTAAAAAAGGCGGATGATAACAAGGGGCTAAATGAGACTACTTAGCGTCATCAAGCTGAATGTTAGCAACCTCTAGCTTAGCGTCAGTGATGCACAACCATCTTGTAGTTGGCTTCAAATCAAATCAAGTTTTATTTATATAGCACATTTATAAACGATTTTTAGTCGAGCCAAAGTGCTGTACATAAAATAAAAATAGCCTACAGTAGAGACACTTTACAGCAAATACAACAGCACAGATTGTTCAGAAGATCAGTATGAGAAAAACGACACCCTCTGTCCTTAGACCCGCTGTCCTTAGACCCTCTGTCCTTAGACCCTCACATCGTACAAGGAAAAACTTCCAGAGAAAACCCACAGTTTAAGGGAACATGGGAGAAACCTCAGGGAGAGCAACAGAGGAGGGATCCCTCTCCCAGGACGGACAGACGTGCAATAGATGCCGTGTGTAAATCCAAGAGATAATACATTTTACAGCATATAGACCGAATGTTAGGAAATGCATGTGTCTGTAATAAGAAGATGCTTATATCATAACGTTAGCTTTTCACTTCTGGCGATTGCATTTCCGCTTTGAAAATCACATACTGTTAATAATGTGTGGAGACAATCCTGCTGAACAAAAGTGTTTACCACAGAGCTTATTTTCTGCAATATAGCTACCAGATCCAATCGAAAAACCCCATTCGCTTTTTGACGAGTGAGCCCTTGTGATGCTAACTTCCGGATCGGCAAACAAAATAAGTCATCCGTGCACCACTCTATACCTTTCCTTGTTGACATCAGATTAACCATTTGATTATTCAGTTTATAACAAAAGTGGCAGTGTGCAGTTAGCCTAGTTAGCATCTGTTAGCGTTCTAAAAGCAAAGCTAAAGTAGTGAACACAGCCGCTCCTAAAGCTGCAAGCATGACTGTAGACATTGTAGAGTCTTTTAAATTGTTCCTGAAACACTACTCATCTGAGCAGTAACAGTTATTGTTACCTGGGCACATGGTTGATGAGAGCTTGAGGTCTGTATTGAGGAAACAGGTAAGACCTAAACTCCTCATTACTACTGATACCAGGCCAAGTCTCTTCAGTTGGAGTGCCTGAAAGACAAAGAAACAAAGACATGTAAGGTTGCATGCTTACATCACTTCTTCTCATTGCACATATTACTCAATCTTAGCCTGTGCTTTCTTACCCACAAGCCTAAAGATTAAGTGTAGCTCCTCCTTCACCGTGGCCCCGGGAAACATTGGACGACCTGTTGCCATCTCAAACATGATGCAGCCCACGCCCCTGCGAGAGGAGAGGAAGAAACAGGGACGAGGAGCAAATAAAAAGAGCCCTTCAATTATCGACCCTAGGTGATCATCAAACGCACTAACACACTTCAAAGAGCGCCGATCATAAGTGCAAAAACATGTGGTGAGAGTGGGCACGGTGCAACCCTTTGTTCCATCACTGACGCAGTAATGAAGAGGCGCCCTGTGGTCACAGAAGAGGATATGTAGCTAGGTGAGCCCATAAAAGGCTGGAGGCTGCTAGAGAAACGCTTTTAATCCTCATTGGTTTACCAGATCTGTGTGCGTTTTCCAGAGATAGCAAAAGTACACATATCCTTTACTAAAGTAGAAGTACACATACTGTACTCATATTTACTCAAGTAAAGAAGTATGGGCTTCGAAATGTAAGTACCCATAACTAGCAGCTGTTAAAGAGTACCTGACCTCCCTTTATATTAATAGAACAATAAGTGTTAGTTGTAAGAATGTAAGAAGTAGAAAGTACAGGTATTTGAGTTCAACATGTAAGAAGTAGAAAGTACAGGTATTTGAGTTCAACATGTAAGAAGTAGAAAGTACAGGTATTTGAGTTCAACATGTAAGAAGTAGAAAGTACAGGTATTTGAGTTCAACATGTAAGAAGTAGAAAGTACAGGTATTTGAGTTCAACATGTAAGAAGTAGAAAGTACAGGTATTTGAGTTCAACATGTGAGAAGTAGAAAGTACAGGTATTTGTGTTCAAAATGTAAGAAGTAGAAAGTACAGGTATTTGTGTTCAAAATGTAAGAAGTAGAAAGTACAGGTATTTGGGTTCAACATGTAAGAAGTAGAAAGTACAGGTATTTGGGTTCAACATGTAAGAAGTAGAAAGTACAGGTATTTGTGTTCAACATGTAAGAAGTAGAAAGTACAGGTATTTGTGTTCAACATGTAAGAAGTAGAAAGTACAGGTATTTGTGTTCAAAATGTGAGAAGTAGAAAGTACAGGTATTTGGGTTCAAAATGTAAGAAGTAGAAAGTACAGGTATTTGAGTTCAACATGTAAGAAGTAGAAAGTACAGGTATTTGGGTTCAACATGTAAGAAGTAGAAAGTACAGGTATTTGTGTTCAACATGTGAGAAGTAGAAAGTACAGGTATTTGAGTTCAACATGTAAGAAGTAGAAAGTACAGGTATTTGTGTTCAACATGTAAGAAGTAGAAAGTACAGGTATTTGAGTTCAACATGTAAGAAGTAGAAAGTACAGGTATTTGAGTTCAAAATGTAGAAGTAGAAAGTACAGGTATTTGTGTTCAAAATGTAAGAAGTAGAAAGTACAGGTATTTGTGTTCAAAATGTAAGAAGTAGAAAGTACAGGTATTTGGGTTCAACATGTAAGAAGTAGAAAGTACAGGTATTTGTGTTCAACATGTGAGAAGTAGAAAGTACAGGTATTTGAGTTCAAAATGTAAGAAGTAGAAAGTACAGGTATTTGTGTTCAAAATGTAAGAAGTAGAAAGTACAGGTATTTGTGTTCAAAATGTAAGAAGTAGAAAGTACAGGTATTTGGGTTCAACATGTAAGAAGTAGAAAGTACAGGTATTTGAGTTCAACATGTAAGAAGTAGAAAGTACAGGTATTTGGGTTCAACATGTGAGAAGTAGAAAGTACAGGTATTTGAGTTCAAAATGTAAGAAGTAGAAAGTACAGGTATTTGAGTTCAACATGTAAGAAGTAGAAAGTACAGGTATTTGAGTTCAACATGTAAGAAGTAGAAAGTACAGGTATTTGTGTTCAACATGTAAGAAGTAGAAAGTACAGGTATTTGGGTTCAACATGTAAGAAGTAGAAAGTACAGGTATTTGTGTTCAAAATGTAAGAAGTAGAAAGTACAGGTATTTGGGTTCAACATGTAAGAAGTAGAAAGTACAGGTATTTGAGTTCAACATGTAAGAAGTAGAAAGTACAGGTATTTGTGTTCAACATGTAAGAAGTAGAAAGTACAGGTATTTGGGTTCAAAATGTAAGAAGTAGAAAGTACAGGTATTTGAGTTCAACATGTAAGAAGTAGAAAGTACAGGTATTTGAGTTCAACATGTAAGAAGTAGAAAGTACAGGTATTTGTGTTCAAAATGTAAGAAGTAGAAAGTACAGGTATTTGAGTTCAACATGTAAGAAGTAGAAAGTACAGGTATTTGTGTTCAATAGTGCTGTAGCGACGCGTCGACGACGTTGACGCGTCGACTTCAAAATATCGTCGACGACATATTTCCGCGTCGACACCATAGACTGTATATATGGTCGCCACACACACGTGGGTCACCCAAAGCAACAAGCAGTTCGCAATCGCACTTCTAACACAATGGAGACTGAAACCTCACAGGATTGCGCACGAAGCCCTCAAACGAAAACATCTCGCCCATGGTCTTCAAAAGCATGGGAATATTTTAAAGTTAGTCCAAAACGCAAAGATATTTATATATTTATATCTCACTGAGACTGCTGCTTGACCAGAAGCAGCAGCTAGCTGTGGTGGCAACCATTAGCAGCTAGCATTTGCTCTCCGATGTTTACATAAAAATGGAATTATGGATTATAAATTCAATAATTTGTTTATACATAGACGTTAAAAACCTATGGATTAACCGATTCAGACGCGTTTTTTCTCATTTTAATGCCATTGAACACGTATTTTGATCAGATTGACAGCTACGGCGGTGAGACGATCTCCCTAGAAGCTCTGTGAAGGTACGTGTTGTGATGACTGTATTTGCTTCCCCTGTCGCGAGTCCGGATCACTCAGTGATGATACTATGTACATAATCTGTGGAGTCTCAGCTTTAATCGGATATCTTGTATGTGCAGCTACGATAAGTAATAAGGGTTATCTTGAGTTCTGTGCCAATGTCCGTTAGCATTTTTCGCTCAGGGGTCATTTAGATGCTTCTTATGAGACTTGTGTTTTGTTTTGGTAAACATGGTTTGTATCGTCAGTTAGCTGAGATTATTTCCGTTAATCTGGTATAACACATTAATAGGTTCTTAAATATTAAGATCCCCTGAGACACTGTATCGTGGAAAAAAAATTGTTTACATTACTTTTTTTTACATTACGTTTTTTATGAATTGAACAACAGAAAAATAATCGTTCGATTAGTCGACTAATCGATCAAATAATCGCCCGATTAATCGTTTTCAAAATAATCGTTTCCCCCCAGCACTAGTGTTCAACATGTAAGAAGTAGAAAGTACAGGTATTTGTATTCAAAATGTAAGAAGTCAACGTAAAAAGTCGTCAGAAAAATAAGTAGTGGAGTAAAGTAGCCAGTTGAGTAGCACTTGAAATGTTTGGCTCTATGAAACCTGATGTACTTATATGATTCTGTTTTCTTCAAGGTTGTGTCTTCCTGGTCGAATGTACTTATTGTAAGTCGCTTTGGATAAAAGTGTCAGCTAAATGCAATGTCATAATGTAAAAAAGTACTGATACCAGATAAATGTACTTAAGTACAGTAACAAAGTATTGTACTCCACTACTTCCCACCTCTGGCGTTTTCCACCATGGCATGCTGCTAATCAGCCAAAATGCACAAGGAATATGCAGATGAATAAGCTCCATTGTACGAATAGTGATTCATCTCTCGGTTATTACCTGTGAGACTTTAATAGATATGCATGATTCATAGAAATCCTAGATGATCCTCTAGTAATTAAACATTCATTTAATTTACCAAGAGACATAAATGCTCAGTGCCAGGGCTGATATCCTGGTGGGTTCTCTGACTGAGATCCAGTTTTAGGTTGACACTACTAGTGGTTTGCAGACAAATTAAACAATCCAATGAAAACGGCATGCTCTGTTGGTACAACCCATTGGTTCTCAGTGTTCCAGGGTCCTATGAGAGGATTCATACTGCCAGTCAGTGATGGAAACAAGTTATCAGATTCTTTACTTGAGAAAAAATTCTTATACTACGGTATAAAAACACTCAATTTCAAATAAATGTAATGAATCGACAATGGTACTTAAGTCAACCCATCCAATCTATCCATCCATAAATCTGTCCATTCATCAATTAATAAATAAAACCATCCATCCATCAATAAATCCATCCATCCGTCCATCCATCCGTCAGTCCGTCCGTCTATCCATCCATCAATAAATCCATCCATCCATCCATCAATAAATCTGTCCATCCATCCATCAATAAATCTGTCCATCCATCCATCAATAAATCTGTCCATCCATCCATCAATAAATCCATCCATCAATAAATCCCTCCATCCGTCCGTCCATCCATCAATAAATCTGTCCATCCATCCATCAATAAATCCATCCATCAATAAATCCATCCATCCGTCCGTCCATCCATCCATCAATAAATCTGTCCATCCATCCGTCAATAAATCCGTCCATCCATCAATAAATCTGTCCATCCATCCATCAATAAATCCGTCCATCCATCAATAAATCCATCCATCCATCAATAAATCCATCCATCCATCAATAAATCCCTCCATCCGTCCGTCCATCCATCCATCAATAAATCTGTCCATCCATCAATAAATCTGTCCATCCATCAATAAATCCATCCATCCGTCCATACATCCATCCATCCGTCAGTCCGTCCGTCCGTCCGTCCGTCCGTCTGTCCGTCCGTCCATCCATCAATCCATCAATAAATCCATCCATCCGTCCGTCAGTCTGTCCGTCCATCCATCCATCCATCCATCCATCAATAAATCCATCCATCCGTCAGTCTGTCCGTTCGTCCATCCATCCATCAATAAATCCATCCATCAATCAATAAATCCATCCATCAATCAATAAATCCATCCATCCATCAATAAATCCATCCATCCATCCATCAATAAATCCATCCATCCGTCCGTCCGTCCGTCCGTCCATCAATCCATCAATAAATCCATCCATCCATCCATCCATCCATCAATAAATCCATCCATCCATCCGTCAGTCTGTCCGTTCGTCCATCCATCCATCAATAAATCCATCCATCCATCCGTCAGTCTGTCCGTCCATCCATCCATCCATCCATCAATAAATCCATCCATCCATCCCTCTATATATCCATCTATAAATCTGTTTATTCATCAATTAATACATAAATAAATCCATCCACCCATCCATCCATCCATCTCTCTATATATCCATCCATCCATATACCCACCATTCCACATTTCACTGTTCTTACTTTGGAGAGAGACTACAATCACACATCAACAAAGTGTTTGCTCCAGAATTATTTCGAGGAATAACAGTTTCAACAGTTTGCAGTGTAGTGATATCCTAAAGTAATAATACTGTGTTCCTCACCACATGTCGATGGGTGTTGAGTATTCTGTCGAGCCCAGCAACACGTCGGGGGGGCGATACCAAAGTGTTACCACCTCATTGGAGTAAGTCTTTGTGGGGACAGACTGTGCCCTCGCCAGACCTGGAAAACACCAACACTGTTAGGGTTTCTACCCACTACAACATCGTAATAAAGGAACCCAGTCTCACAAAAAAAAACGTGTAATAGCTACGTTGGTCGACAGGGCAACACGTAATATATTCACAAATAACCCTCTCAAGACGTGACATGGATACAATATTTTTTTCCTATTAATTTCTAATGACCAGTGTCCATGTCACGTGTTCGCAAACTTTCCTAGCGTGAGAAAAAAAACCATGGGGGACACCCAATTTATTTTTAGTGGAAAATCCTAAATTGTAGGATAGTTTGGCCATTATAATACTTTTTGATTACATTTCTAGCGAGAAGTTTAAATTGTACTTTTAAAATCGACGTCCAGTGGCTGTGTAGGATCTATAGTTTGATATATATTAGGAAAACGATTTGAGGTCTCACCAGGAGGACGTGTATATACTGTATATTCACATCAGACCTCAAATAATAATAATAGTCTTGTTTTTTTTCTCACTCTAGGAAAGTTTGCGATCACATGACATGAACACCGGTCATTAGAAATGAAAAGGAAATAATATTGTATCCATGTCACGTCTTGAGAGGGTTATTTGTGAATATACTAAGTTTTGCCCTGTGGACCAACGTAGCTATTACACGTTTTTTTGTGAGACTGGGTTGAATAAAGACACTTAAGTTCTTAAGGCGAGACACCCCAGGTGAATAGGGTAATTTTTTTAACTTAAAGGTATCAGCTAGAAATTTCTCCAGTTAATTACTTACAATAAGGCAATTGTCTTTTGTATTACAAGTCTTCTGAAATAGCATGTTTAAATATGCAAATTATCCATTATCTCATTAAATATGCACATATTTTAACACATTTCAGGAATCGAAATCTGAACTTTGGATATAGCCAGATTCAAAATTATTGTTTCATTTTGTAGTCATATTAGTATCTAAGGCTTTTACAGAAGGGATATTGGATATCTCTTTTTATCATTCCATAAATCAGAAAATACTGTCAACAGCCCTAAAATATCCATTTTCGCCATGTTTTTAGGTATACAATGTTGTATAATTCAGGCTATGAATTATATATGAACAAACCCTTCTGTAAAAGCCTTCATAATATTGATAGGAATATAACTGGAAGGTTTGGTGTATCTACGTGCTACTGAAGTTGAAATTTGGAACTCAGAGTAGGAGAAAAAACTCATTTTGAGAAAACGACCTTTAAAGATAGCTGTGAGGCGCTAGCTAAACCCTCCTGTTCTTTGAATGACAGCTTGCGCATCGACGCACTCCGTGAAGGTATTTCATGTTCAGGGTCATTTTTTTTTTATAACCTTGCTTCGTGCAAGTGACAATTGTTGTCGTCTTCTCTGTGAACGTTTTTTTCGCCGTTCTTTTGGCATTTTGAGATTTCAATTTCTAGCTGAAAGCTAACCAGGAAGTGTTTTAGCACACCACGTGACGCATCTGAACGAATCACGTTGTCAGAAATTGACACCAGCCAATGAGATTTCGTTTCTTGGTTTAAGACCCCTTTGTGCTTTCACGATTGGTTGCTGATACAAAGGAAATGACCATATTTGGATCCGATGAGATTGTGCAGGAGAGACACAGCTTTCCAGGATACCTCTGTTGACATGGTGCACACAGCGGTCGCGGTACTTTATGTTACGTTAGAATGCTAACTTTTGGTGAATTTAGGAGAAATATACAGACGCAAATAGACAAACTATAGTAAAATAAACACTTAAATGTGTATTTTGTACGTTTTCCTTCCAAAAGCCTGAAAGAAAACATGTTATGGAATCAAAATAGCACAAAATCTCAAAATTGACCAGTACTTGAAAAACGATGTTTTTGCCTGCCGTGTCTCGCCTTAAGACATCTATCTTTGTAACAAACTGCTTTCAGGTAGAGACCAGGAAGTTGATGCCGGTCTTTTGGAAGTCCTACCCACTTTCGTCAGCTACTCTAGCAGCCCTGTGATATTCTTTGTACTGAAGTTTAAAGCGTTGGGCATTTTCATTACTATTTTCATAATATTCATATAATTTTGACCTTGAAATTCCCTCTTAATGTCAAGTACTGTGTGACTCAACAGTACACAATGAAGTCTTATAAAGTGAGCTAAAAGTGTACGAGAGCACAAGATTCTTTAAGTGGTCAATTAAACCTCATATAACATAACACACATTGTGTTATAATAACAAATGTTGGAACACTTCCTCAAGGAGTAAGTAAACTGTACAATCTAGGTTACATGTTCATAGTTTACTTATTCTTGCATTTTACTTGCATCATTCTTTTCTTTTTATGTCTTTAGGAAACTCTATGCATTACTGTTCGATTTGTATTGCCAGCAACTACGCTGTAACTATTGTGCATATTACCAAAAAAAGCCCTTTGAGTCTATCTGCCCATATGCTGTGATAAAACTATTGAACATTAATGAGGGAGTCCCGGTGGGTTTATCTACCCACATCCAGCACAAAATGGAGAAACTCAGAGAGAGGGGCACAGTTGCTAGGTTACAGCAAGTAAGGGTTCTAAAGGAGTCGGGGACCAAAGATCACCGAGTGGCAGCAACATATATTCAAAAATCAATCGTGTCGGGAATCAGGCTGTCTTATTCTAAATGTGTTTTTACGACCACATTTGCATCGATTAATATGTGTGTGTGTTGCATGTGAATCGGCTGTTTTTCCTACCGAAGTCGGCCAGTTTGAGCTCGCCCTTGTCGTTGATGAGCAGGTTCTGAGGCTTCAGGTCTCTGTGGAGGATTTTCCTCTTGTGACAGTAGGACAGACCACGCATCAGCTGGAACATGAAGATCTGTACCAGAAATGTCGTATATCATGAGGATTAAAAAGGACATATTTCCACCATATTCAACATAAATATTGCTATATTTTGTAATGTTATTATAGTTTCTCTTCAAGGTCCCCTATTATGCTGTTTTTGCTCAATATATTATAGTTCTCGGATATAAACAAAACATGTCTCTGAAGTGTTTGGCTCCAAATACCAAACAGATCATTGCAGCATTACCCATAATGCCCTCTGTTTCAGCCCTGTTTCAAAAGTGCTGATTCTCTGTCTGTTACTTTAGATGAAAATAAGGAGCAACGCTCCTCTGAGAAATATTTGGTTAAAAATAACACAATAGGCGTGTTTACACCGGAGCACTTTCCCAGTATAGTTCCGATAGTTCTTGAAATTCTGCGTTCACACCAAAAAAATCGGAACTAGAATTTAGTTAATGAGAACCTTTTCACCCCCTTCTCAGTCCCTGCTAGAGAGCAGGTACTTTCGTGGGAGAAAAAGGTTCCTATTTCTGATTGGCTGGGCGGATTGCAAACCACGCCCCGTAAAACTGCGAAAAGTTTTGTGAAGCCGCGATTTTATTTGCTGGCATTAGCATTAGCATTAGCCCCGCGCACCAACGGAGAGAGACTAACTTATGGCAACACAAAAGAAAACATGGGAGCGGTGGAGATGAGGAGGTGTCGGCGCTCTGACGATTTACTCGGAAGGCTTCAGTAGAAGCTGCTGGGAGTCCCAGCAGCTTCTACTGAAGCCAGTCCCCAACTCCGGCTGGGGACTTCGGGTGGCAGTATACGCCGTGAAGTGGTTTGCGGCCTGCCAGTAAACCCAAAGCAGAAGAAGAAGAAGTGACATCAGCGGCTTCATTTGCCTAATCCACCCCCAGGGACTTATTCCGGTGTGAACGCGATCTGTACTTAGTTCATGAGAACTAAAGAGTTCTGATGAACTAAGTACTGGGAACTAAATACGGCAAAATACTTGGTGTGAAAGCGCCTAATGGTGCTCTAGGAGGAGATTCAGGTGATAAGGTGGGGTTACCTTGGTTGGTGATTGGCTAATGATTACACAAGACAACACATTGTTGTGACATCATAAAGTGGGCAAAATCTGATCAGCTCATTTTCAGACAGGTTTTTATAGAAATTGATCAAAAAGAGAGAGAATCTTTGTTCCTGATACTTTCAGAGTCTCTTTCCACAGAGGGGACACATGTTGATGTAGAAGAGACATGAAGAAGAGGGGACACATGTTGATGTAGAAGAGACATGAAGAAGAGGAGACACATGTTGATGTAGAAGAGACATGAAGAAGAGGGGACACATGTTGATGTAGAAGAGACATGAAGAAGAGGGGACACATGTTGATGTAGAAGAGACATGAAGAAGAGGGGACACATGTTGATGTAGAAGAGACATGAAGAAGAGGAGACACATGTTGATGTAGAAGAGACATGAAGAAGAGGGGACATGTGATGTGAAGAGAAGAGGGGACACATGTTGATGTAGAAGAGACATGAAGAAGAGGAGACACATGTTGATGTAGAAGATACATGAAGAAGAGGGGACACATGTTGATGTAGAAGAGACATGAAGAAGAGGGGACACATGTTGATGTAGAAGAGACATGAAGAAGGAGGGGACACATGTTGATGTAGAAGAGACATGAAGAAGAGGGGACACATGTTTGATGTAGAAGAGACATGAAGAAGAGGGGACACATGTTGATGTAGAAGAGACATGAAGAAGAGGGGACACATGTTGATGTAGAAGAGACATGAAGAAGAGGGGACACATGTTGATGTAGAAGAGACATGAAGAAGAGGGGACACATGTTGATGTAGAAGAGACATGAAGAAGAGGGGACACATGTTGATGTAGAAGAGACATGAAGAAGAGGGGACACATGTTGATGTAGAAGAGACATGAAGAAGAGGGGACACATGTTGATGTAGAAGAGACATGAAGAAGAGGGGACACATGTTGATGTAGAAGAGACATGAAGAAGAGGGGACACATGTTGATGTAGAAGAGACATGAAGAAGAGGGGACACATGTTGATGTAGAAGAGACATGAAGAAGAGGGGACACATGTTGATGTAGAAGAGACATGAAGAAGAGGGGACACATGTTGATGTAGAAGAGACATGAAGAAGAGGGGACACATGTTGATGTAGAAGAGACATGAAGAAGAGGGGGACACATGTTGATGTAGAAGAGACATGAAGAAGAGGGGACACATGTTGATGTAGAAGAGACATGAAGAAGAGGGGACACATGTTGATGTAGAAGAGACGAGACATGAAGAAGAGGGGACACATGTTGATGTAGAAGAGACATGGAAGAAGAGGGGACACATGTTGATGTAGAAGAGACATGGAGAAGAGGGGACACATGTTGATGTAGAAGAGACATGAAGAAGAGGGGACACATGTTGAATGTAGAAGAGACATGAAGAAGAGGGGACACATGTTGATGTAGAAGAGACATGAGAAAGAGGGGACACATGTTGATGTAGAAGAGACATGAAGAGGGGGGGACACATGTTGATGTAGAAGAGACATGAAGAAGAGGGGACACATGTTGATGAAGAAGAGACATGAAGAAGAGGGGACACATGTTGATGTAGAAGAGACATGAAGAGAGGGGACACATGTTGATGTAGAAAGAGACATGAAGAAGAGGGGACACATGTTGATGTAGAAGAGACATGAAGAAGGGGACACATGTTGATGTAGAAGAGACATGAAGAAGAGGGGACACATGTTGATGTAAGAAGAGAACATGAAGAAGGGACACATGTTGATGTAGAAGAGACATGAAGAAGAGGGGACACATGTTGATGTAGAAGAGACATGAAGAAGAGGGGACACATGTTGATGTAGAAGAGACATGAAGAAGAGGGGACACATGTTGATGTAGAAGAGACATGAAGAAGAGGGGACACATGTTGATGTAGAAGAGACATGAAGAAGAGGGGACACATGTTGATGTAGAAGAGACATGAACAAGTGGACTTTGCATAATAGGTGACCTTTAAAACAACATTTATCAGTGTTTTTGTTTTATTTTAATTTGTATGTATGTTTATGTATATGTATAACACCAAGTGAAATGCCTCGTATGTGTTTACCTACTTGGCAATAAACCTGTTTCTGATTCTGATATTATGCTAGTTTTCCAGTTCATATTTGTATTTGGTGCCTCTACTGTGATATGTTCTTGCTGCTCACCTTGACGTTATGCATGCTCATGAGATTCCCACAGTTGTCCAGATACTGTTTAAGGTCACTGTCCTGGAAGACACAACAGGCATACTCAAATCTACCCTTAGTTCAAGATTCAAGGCTTTTATTGTCATTCCTACTCAGCTACAGTGTAGTTATGACAATGAAAATCTTAGGTCACAGGCTCCTCCAACAGTGCAACACAATAAAACTGATAAAATAGTGCAAGTAAATACAAATAAAATAGAATAGAAATAGTGCAAGAAGAGTCTATGTACAAGTAATTGGAATATGATATATTAGATAAACAATTTGTGAGTTGCAAACAGATGAATGTTATGGATGTTCTTTCAAAAGCTCAGGTGTTTTATCGATACTTTGTGAACACCTGCATGCTGAGCGGACGATGTACTCACCAGATACTCAAAGACCAGCGTGAGGCAGCGCTCGGTGTGGATGATGTCGTGCAGCGTGACGATGTTGGCATGTTTCAGGTTCTTCAGTAGAGACACTGCGTGGACAGAAGAAGGAGAGATACTGTCAAAATAACAGTAACCGTGGAGACTACGATAAACAATCTACCTACTATACAGAGCGTTTGAAGGTACATTTACTCAAGCACTTTATTCAAAAGTATTTGAACTAAATGCACCAATAATCTTCTACTTATAAGGGCATGTACAGGCTTTGGGAGTAACAGATTACTTAATCAGGATACATACAAAAGGTAACTTCCTTTATTCATGTACCTTTGTTATTCATGTTTTATTATCTAGTGTTTTTAAATGCCATTTTATAATATGTGTCTTAATGCTCTTAATGTCTTTCATTTTTGTAAAGCACTTTGAACTGCCTTGTTGAAAGGTGCTATATAAATAAACTTGCCTTGCTTTGTTTTACAGTCATGAAAAAAAGATGAAATCATATTAATGTTACAATTGCTTCGATTACAATGTCAGTAAAAATGTTTTTTTTTGCATAGTGACTCTTGAGTATCCTTTATTTTGCAACTTTTACAGCGTACACAAAGTATGCAGTATACATTTGAGACACATAGGCTTGAGGTAATAGATATCAGAATGACGGTACATTTAAACAACTCAAATTAAATAATCTCTAAAACGTGAAATATGTACAGAATACAAAATAATTAAATAGGCAACACTCTCATAGTTAGTGCCAATAATGTATACACTATAATGCATTGGTTGTTTAAAGGTGTTACATCTGCATCAGTTATTTTTTAAATCCAGATGAAGGATCGACCATGCATTAATAACAGCTGCCTCCTGAGCCAGGGCAATAACCAAGCTCCATTTAGGTGAAAGTGGCAGATTAAAATGTGCTCCTGTCCCACCTTGAGACTAAAATTGAAATATTATCCGCCCGAGGTCATCACCCCTGGACCGGAAAACAAATCAATGTGTGTGTGTGTGTGTGTGTGTGTGTGTGTGTGTGTGTGTACCCTCTCTGATAGCAGTGCACGGCGCTCCCTCCTCGTGCTCCAGCCGAATCTCCTTCAACGCCACCAAGTTCTCTGTGAGTTTGCTTCTCCCTTTGAACACTGTGGCATATGTCCCCTATGAGAGAACACACACACACACACACACACACACACACACACACACACACACACACACAGACACACACACACACACACACACACACACACACACACACACACACACACACACACACACACACACACACACACACACACACACACACACACACACACACACACACACACACACACACACACACACACACACACACACACACACACACACACACACACACACACACACACACACACACACACACACACACACACACACACACACACACAGTGGGTGAAATTCTGGTAATCGAATATTCTAAAAAGCTTTTAATCAAATGTCTTTTTTTTCTATTAATAGCAACATTATTACATTGATTTGATTGGAATCCGTTTCCCCAGCACATTAACATAAATTAAAACAGATAATGTATTCCATCTGACTGAATTAGGTTATTAGTTTAAAAAGCTATCATCCATGACAAGCCTCAACAAACTACGTATCAATGTGATTCAAGCTTCTCAATCGGGATTTGATTTAATAAATGCAGTTAATGCATATTTATTTTTGCAGGGATATGATCATTTCTGAATATTACGGGGCGTGTGGTGCAGTGGGATGTGAGTTGGTATTCGGATCAGGAGGTCACAGGTTCAAACCCCACTGCAGTTAGCATGTCGTTGTGTCCCTGAGACACTTCACCCCAAATTGCTCCTGTGGGGATTGCCCACAGTATTGAGTATGTAAGTCGCTTTGGATAAAAGCGTCTAACAAGTAACATGTAATGTAAAAAAGAAGACAGACAGGAAGTAAACACTAACGGGATCAGCAGAAGAAGACAGACAGGAACTAAAGACTAAAGGGAACAGTAGAAGAAGAGAGACAAGAAGTAAACACTAAAGGGAACAGCAGAAGAAGACAGACAGGAAGTAAACACTAAAGGGAACAGCAGAAGAAGACAGACAGGAAGTAAACACTAAAGGGAACAGCAGAAGAAGACAGACAGGAAGTAAACACTAAAGGGAACAGCAGAAGAAGACAGACAGGAAGTAAACACTAACGGGATCAGCAGAAGAAGACAGACAGGAACTAAAGACTAAAGGGAACAGTAGAAGAAGACAGACAGGAAGTAAACACTAAAAGGAACAGCAGAAGAAGACAGACAGGAAGTACACACTAAAGGGAACAGCAGAAGAAGACAGACAGGAAGTAAACACTAAAGGGAACAGCAGAAGAGGACAGACAGGAAGTAAACACTAAAGGGAACAACAGAAGAAGACAGACAGGAAGTAAACATTAACAGGAACAGCAGAAGAAGACAGACAGGAAGTAAACATTAACAGGAACAGCAGAAGAAGACAGACAGGAAGTAAACACTAAAGGGAACAGCAGAAGAAGACAGACAGGAAGTAAACACTAAAGGGAACAGCAGAAGAAGACAGGCAGGAAGTAAACACTAAAGGGAACAGCAGAAGAAGGCAGACGGGAAGTAAACACTAAAGGGAACAGCAGAAGAAGACAGACAGGAAGTAAACACTAAAGGGAACAGCAGAAGAAGACAGACAGGAACTAAAGACTAAAGGGAACAGTAGAAGAAGAGAGACAGGAAGTAAACACTAAAGGGAACAGCAGAAGAAGACAGACAGGAAGTAAACACTAACGGGATCAGCAGAAGAAGACAGACAGGAACTAAACACTAAAGGGAACAGCAGAAGAAGACAGACAGGAAGTAAACACTAAAGGGAACAGCAGAAAAAGACAGACAGGAAGTGAACACTAAAGGGAACAGCAGAAGAAGACAGACAGGAAGTGAACACTAAAGGGAACAGCAGAAGAAGACAGACAGGAAGTAAACACTAAAGGGAACAGCAGAAAAAGACAGACAGGAAGTAAACACTAAAGGGAACAGCAGAAGAAGACAGGCAGGAAGTAAACACTAACAGGAACATCAGAAGAAGACAGACAGGAAGTAAACACTAAAGGGAACAGCAGAAGAGGACAGACAGGAAGTAAACACTAACAGGAACAGCAGAAGAAGACAGACAGGAAGTAAACACTAAAGGGAACAACAGAATAAGGCAGACGGGAAGTAAACACTAAAGGGAACAACAGAATAAGGCAGACGGGAAGTAAACACTAAAGAGAACAGCAGAAGAAGACAGGAAGTAAACACTAAAGGGAACAGCAGAAGAAGGCAGACGGGAAGTAAACACTAAAGGGAACAGCAGAAGAAGACAGACAGGAAGTAAACACTAACGGGAACAGCAGAAGAAGACAGACAGGAAGTAAACACTAAAGGGAACAACAGAAGAAGGCAGACGGGAAGTAAACAATAAAGGGAACAGCAGAAGAAGACAGGCAGGAAGTAAACACTAAAGGGAACAGCAGAAGAAGGCAGAAAGGAAGTAAACACTAAAGGGAACAACAGAAGAAGGCAGACGGGAACTAAACACTAAAGGGAACAGCAGAAGAAGACAGACAGGAAGTAAACACTAAAGGGAACAGCAGAAAAAGACAGACAGGAAGTGAACACTAAAGGGAACAGCAGAAGAAGACAGACAGGAAGTGAACACTAAAGGGAACAGCAGAAGAAGACAGACAGGAAGTAAACACTAAAGGGAACAGCAGAAAAAGACAGACAGGAAGTAAACACTAAAGGGAACAGCAGAAGAAGACAGGCAGGAAGTAAACACTAACAGGAACAGCAGAAGAAGACAGACAGGAAGTAAACACTAAAGGGAACAGCAGAAGAGGACAGACAGGAAGTAAACACTAACAGGAACAGCAGAAGAAGACAGACAGGAAGTAAACACTAAAGGGAACAACAGAAGAAGGCAGATGGGAAGTAAACACTAAAGGGAACAGCAGAAGAAGGCAGACGGGAAGTAAACACTAAAGGGAACAGCAGAAGAAGACAGACAGGAAGTAAACACTAACGGGAACAGCAGAAGAAGACAGACAGGAAGTAAACACTAAAGGGAACAACAGAAGAAGGCAGACGGGAAGTAAACACTAAAGGGAACAGCAGAAGAAGACAGGCAGGAAGTAAACACTAAAGGGAACAGCAGAAGAAGGCAGAAAGGAAGTAAACACTAAAGGGAACAACAGAAGAAGGCAGACGGGAAGTAAACACTAAAGGGAACCCAGTATGGGCTCTGCAGTGTCTAAAGACTGGTTAATGGGAAAGAAAATGAACAGACTTGGACAGTTACAGAAAACCTCGATCAGTGCTGCCGTAATTTTAAGTTACATTTCAGTCGAATGCTTCTTAGCTGAAGCAAAAAAAACATGAACCCATTACATCATTTGTATTCAAGTCAAGTTGTATGTTTATAGCAACTATTGCAAGTGAGCTTAAAATGCCAACACTAAAATATTCGGATATTGAGAAATAAACATCAGCGGATAAGATACATTTCATAATTGCCCCATGTTCAGATCGTTGTCTCTCGCTGCATATAAACGGTGCCTTTGAGAGCCTCAGGTCACGATAATTGACAACAAAAGCATCTCTCTTCGATCCTTCACCACCGCTGTTATCTGCTGCTGAGTCTTGTGACCGGAACTAAGGCGACATTATTCATTCCTGACTCCTCAGATAAATGCTGAGGGATTTAGGTGCATTGGCTTGTGCTTAACATGCATGTGACACGATTACATAATCAGGATTGAAAAAAAGTAGCTTCATTCCCAGTTACATACAAAAAATGGGGGATTACCATGTTAGTAAAAACCAGAGAGCAGATAGTGTTTGATGTAAAAGGATCAGATGTTATCTCTTCTCTGTGAGCTGTTCTGTTCTGTTGGATAATACTTTAAGTGTGAATACTTCTACTGCCTGAATCTGCTTTATGGTTTCTTTGCTTCATTTGTTCTGTTTTTCATTCAGCAGGTGAACCTATATGTTCATAAAATAGTGTGTGTGAGCTTAACTGTGTGTGTTCAACTCAAACGGAACATTTTCTGTCAGCTCACATTTTATTTCTGCTTTTTTAAACTGTAGCTAGTATGCTCCTGTTTGGCTACTGCCTGAATATGCTTCATGAAAGGCAGGTTTTTTTCCTATCAATAAAATAATATCTTCTTATTTTCTAAGGTCACATGTTGTCTTACTTAATACACTTATGTTATCTTAATGCAATTTATTTTCCTCTTGGATTTATTTGCATTGCATTTAATAATTAGGTAATCCAAAAGTAACGGATTTTACTTTTACATTTTTGAAAATAGGAATAGGATACCCATTACATTTTTCACATGTAACTAGAAATTGTAACGGATTAGATTGTTAAACTAAACCTCCTAACTCTATTTCTAACTATTGCACACATGGTTATACTGTAGGCTTGTACTGTGTTGACATATAAACAAACCGTTGTACACATGTTGACAGGATCCAGTCTCCTGAGGGCCTTGACTCACCAAAGACTTGATAAGTATAATGAACACTGGCAGACAACCTGTGGTCAGCAAACCAGTGACATGCTTAATTTGTGTCTGAAGATGTTCCCTTTAACTTCGAGTTAACATTAACATCCACCGTCTGAAAAATTGTTCTGAAGTGAATGTGTGAGTAATCGGCAGAGACGTACCTCTCCTAGTTTGCCGAGCTTCACGTACGTCTCCAGTTTCCCGAAGCCTATGTCGGACTGGAGACAAAATGAAGAGGTAGATTAATCGTTGACTGCTTCTGTATCACTGTGGAACATTTAAAAGATAATTTTGCACTCATTACGTGTTCATTAAGCGCAATGTTTCTTTTACTCCAGACAGAAAAGAAAAGCCTATTACGGGAATGGAGAACTGGGGGAATCATCAGAGAAATGAATGGGCTCATTATAATATTAATACAAAATAACCGAAATAACAACAGGAAGGATAAGAGATAAGAGCAGTAGTAGTTTGCTGAGAGTAGGAAATAAGATCTGTAATATGAGCCGGATGGTCAAACAAAGACCCAACTAATATGGGATGTATAGTTAATGAGATCAGATAAGCATGACAGCAGTCGATATTAGATGATAGACAACCACTGGGATTTTAACACTTTATAGGCAGGTTATTAGCAGAGGTGGGAAGTGATGGAGTACAAATACTTTGTTACTGTACTTAAGTAGCTACATTTTTCTGGTATCAGTACTTTACTCCACTACTTATTTTTCTGACGACTTTTCACTTTTACTTCTTACATGTTGAACCCAAATACCTGAACTTTCTACTTCTTACATGTTGAACTCAAATACCTGAACTTTCTACTTCTTACATGTTGAACCCAAATACCTGTACTTTCTACTTCTTACATGTTGAACTCAAATACCTGTACTTTCTACTTCTTACATGTTGAACACAAATACCTGTACTTTCTACTTCTTACATGTTGAACACAAATACCTGTACTTTCTACTTCTTACATGTTGAACTCAAATACCTGTACTTTCTACTTCTTACATGTTGAACTCAAATACCTGTACTTTCTACTTCTTACATGTTGAACTCAAATACCTGTACTTTCTACTTCTTACATGTTGAACCCAAATACCTGTACTTTCTACTTCTTACATGTTGAACACAAATACCTGTACTTTCTACTTCTTACATGTTGAACTCAAATACCTGTACTTTCTACTTCTTACATGTTGAACACAAATACCTGTACTTTCTACTTCTTACATGTTGAACTCAAATACCTGTACTTTCTACTTCTTACATTTTTAACCCAAATACCTGTACTTTCTACTTCTTACATGTTGAACTCAAATACCTGTACTTTCTACTTCTTACATGTTGAACACAAATACCTGTACTTTCTACTTCTTACATGTTGAACTCAAATACCTGTACTTTCTACTTCTTACATGTTGAACCCAAATACCTGTACTTTCTACTTCTTACATGTTTAACTCAAATACCTGTACTTTCTACTTCTTACATGTTGAACCCAAATACCTGTACTTTCTACTTCTTACATGTTTAACTCAAATACCTGTACTTTCTACTTCTTACATGTTGAACACAAATACCTGTACTTTCTACTTCTTACATGTTGAACACAAATACCTGTACTTTCTACTTCTTACATGTTGAACACAAATACCTGTACTTTCTACTTCTTACATGTTGAACACAAATACCTGTACTTTCTACTTCTCACATGTTGAACACAAATACCTGTACTTTCTACTTCTTACATGTTGAACCCAAATACCTGTACTTTCTACTTCTTACATGTTGAACACAAATACCTGTACTTTCTACTTCTTACATGTTGAACCCAAATACCTGTACTTTCTACTTCTTACATGTTGAACTCAAATACCTGTACTTTCTACTTCTCTCATTTTCCAAACAGCTGGTTCCTTTAGTCTGAATATGTGTTTGATGCGTGATCATTATTCTTTAGAGTCATTGCGTGCCTATTGATTTGAACACGATCCGTGTATCCATCATTTCCTGGTCTTCTCTAAAGAAGAGGGACCAATGAAAACGTTGTCATGTTGCCGTTGTTCAGCATGGAAACATTCATTAGCTAACAATGACATTATTGTTCTATTAATATAAAGGGAGGTCAGGTACTCTTTAAAAAACAGTTGGTAGTTATGGGTACTTTTTACTAAGTACATTTCAAAGCCCATACTTCTTTACTTTTACTTGAGTAAAGAAGTTTAGTCAGTACTTTTTACCAGAGTATTTTTAATCACGAGTATCTGTACTTCTACTTGAGTAAACGAAGTGTGTACTTTTGCCTTCTCTGGTTATTAGGTCTATATGATAAAGATATTAAAGAAAGATATTCATATAAGGCACTTACCAGTGAGGCGCGTCGGGACATGCGGCTCAGAGGTTTGCAGAGCGGAGAGTTCTCGCTCTCCAGCTGCAGCTTCTTCAGAAACTCTGGAGGCAGACGGATGTCCATCGGCAGAGACATGCGCTTACTGACGTCCTGCAGGAATAAAGGTGTGGAGAACGTTGAAAGACTGTATATCAGCAGTACACACGTTAATATCATTCATTCATGTGCCTAAAACTGACTGAATTCAACCTCATATATGGCCAAGTGCTATCATAAGTAAGTTTGCTGACCTTTACAAATCAGATTAAATAAAATTTCATTTTAAATGTTGTTTATATCACATCACATCAAATGGTATGTGGGTCATTCCAGAATTGGAGGACATTTCATGTCCCCCATATAAGAAATCTAATAATCCATGCCCAAAATGCTAAAACATGCACTTGTTGTGTTAAACATACTTGTATTGAGACACAATGTATATAAAGTCGTAGAAAAAGTGTAAAAGTGGTTACCCAAACCTTTTTAGATTGGCACAGGAAGTGAACAAACTGTAAGTCAGATGACACAGGAAGTGACATCAGCAAGCCATGTGCTAGTGCCATGGACCACAACTAAGTCCTCTTTTATTTTTCTACAATCTTTTCAGTCTTAAAAGAGTGTGGCACTCTGACCCACTCAACCCTGTTACTGATATTATCAGAATAAAGCATATTAATTTCAAAGTGATCTTTCTTGCATTAGATATCCAAGTTTGTCCTTGCCTTGAAAGTAGCATTACATGCTACATCTAGCAATCATTCCTGAGGTTAAAGCTCAAATTAGCATTGATTTTCAACCCTGTTACTATAATGAGTAACAGTAATTCTTCATTGGAAAATATTAATTTGATGCCTAGCTGGGCAAATCACTTTTTTTGATGGTTTATTATCTGTTTTTCCTAAATACATACACAAAATTATAAAATAAAAGGTTCATTTTTCAAAAATGTTGGTGTCTAAATTGTCCTCCAATTCTGGAATGACCCATTTATATAACCAAATATCAGAAAACACATTTGTCTCAGGGGACTTTGCACAGATCAAACATTAATGACAATATAAATGTTTAAAAAAAAAGAAAAGATAGACAATGTAATAGACAAAGGGGTAATGTGAATGTATAATACTATAATAGAACAATTAAAATAAAGGACCCAGGAGGATGTTTAAGACAAGCCTGTGCCAGCTCTAAATATACATAATTAAAAAGAAGAGTCTAAGGCGTACTCTTATTTACACTGAACAAAAATATAAACGCAACACTTTTGTTTTTGCTCCCATTTTTCATGAGATGAACTCAAAGATCTAAAACATTTTCTATACACACAAAATAACCATTTCTCTCAAATATTGTTCACAAATCTGAAATAATCTGTGATAGTGAGCACTTCTCCTTTGCCGAGATAATCCATCCCACCTCACAGGTGTGGCATATCAAGATGCTGATTAGACAGCATGATTATTGCACAGGTGTGCCTTAGGCTGGCCACAATAAAAGGCCACTCTGAAACGTGCAGTTTTGCTTTATTGGGGGGGTCCGAAAACCAGTCAGTATCTGGTGTGAAGGGTAGGGTTAGGGTAATGTTGTGAATCCAGTGGCCCATGGTGGTGGTGGGGTTATGGTATGGGCAGGCGTATGTTATGGACGACGAACACAGGCCACTCGATTCACAACATTACCCTAACCCAGGGGTGCCCAACCAGTCGATCGCGATCGACTGGTCGATCGCCGGGAGATTCCCAGTCGATCGCGAGATGTGTCTAAAAATAGAACAACAATATTCTGTTTTTACATTACATTACATTGCATTTAGCTGACGCTTTTATCCAAAGCGACTTACAATAAGTACATTCGACCAGGAAGACACAACCTTGTTAACAATTCCCATATCACTTGTTGTCACTGATAGATTCGAAGGCAGAAGATCAACCAAAAGACGACTGGAGAGGGAAGACTGCGAAGACAGTCCCAGGGTAAGTAATCATGATGACCCACCCAAAAGAAGTAAAGTCGTAAAGTAAATGGCATTCTGCAGCGACTTTGGATGGGTATGGAGACTGTCATTTAATACTTAAAATCTCCACAGCCATACAGTTTGTTGCTTCCACCTCTTATTCAAGGGGGCAATGTGTCATGATGCAAGTACAACTGTTTTACCATGCAGTAGTAATTCCTTTTATCTGGTGTCTTCCAGAAAAAGGACCCACTGGCAAAGACGGCTGCAGAATAAATTCAGCTCTGAAGAGGAGGATGGAGTACGTGATATGCTATCTGTTATACCTTACATGAAATTCACAGCACTTCCTTCTGTTCTTCTGCAGCGACTGGTAGAAAATGGCTGAAAATATGTTGTACCACTGATTTAGATAGTGTTGCATGTGCAAGTTTGTGTGCGTCATAATTACACATTCAAAGCATCTTGTTGCAAATCAGCCAGCAGCACTATAAGAATAGTAAATGTACAGTGTAGTAGCAATGCATAAACTATTTATCTTCTTCCTGGAGAAGCACCCCTTTATAAGTATCTCAGTGGTGCTCTGCAAAGAAAATGGGAGATAAAGTCATCCTGCCACAAATTCTTTCCATGGCCCCACTGGACAGAGAAGCAGCTCTCATAACCTCGGTGAAGCCAGCAACCTGCGGGACGAAGACAGCTGGGAAGACAGGATGGACCCATTTATGTTCAGGTTCAAATTTGAGTCGGACTATTTAATGTTTTTTGAGCAGTGCATTGATAAAGAAAACCTTAAGGGTCATGCCTGTTTTGAAGAGCGCGGTTGAATGTTTGCATCAGCAAAGCCTTTCACTGTTGTATAGATTTTTTTTTATATACTTAGTTTGGTTTTTATATTTACTGTATTTGCTTTTTCGGTTCTGTTATCTTAATGATTGTTCTGTTATATGATAAATGTTGTAAATAATAAATGCTTTTTCTATCATTCTATGAAATGCAGTGCAATGTATCATTTGAAATATATGGACGAGATATGAGTATGCACAGAACTAACTAAATGAATAATCAATTAAAACAAATATTAAATAATTTACTTAAATACACTAATATAGAAAATATGACTTTTATACCACATTGCACATGTGGTATAAAAAGGTATATTTAAATACATTCATGCATTTAATTAGTTTCACGTTTTTATATTTAGTTTTTAAATGATATTTAGTCGAGTGCAGATTTGTACTTCTTGTAGTTGTCCAGCAGATGATGCTGTTTGTCTCATTAGGATATCCATACACCCCGCCCATCGGACGTCCAGCCCCGCCCACATCTGACCACGCCCCATTCCGCGTGCTGCAGTCAGGGCCTATAGGATTTCATTGCCCTCTCCCAATTCCTCCCGGGGTCATATTTCTCCCGCATTTCTCCCGATTTCTGACAAAATCAGATTTACTCACGACTGTTTCCACTCGGACTTTAATATACAGCTACACCATTGTTTGGTTTCCATGGTAGCACGTCTCTTTAGTAGCGAACACAACTGAAAGTCTGAGAGGGTGAGGAAGATTGTCACAGAAAACAGAACAAGAATCGACAACTCTAGCCTCTGCTCACTCCTTTCCATATGCTCCATCAAGGCTGGTGCTACAGGCAGCAAGGCAGTGCACTTACAACTACAATAAGCATGTTAATGTTAATCTAATACAGCTCCGGCGATCCACTAGCACCCCCCCCCCCCGCGGTGGTTTTGAAATGCTCCCAATTTCTGAGGTCTCAAGGTCAGTATAAAGCAGAAGAAGAAGAAGTGACGTCAGCGGCTTCATTTGTCTAATCCTCCCTCAGGGACTTATTCCGGTGTGAACGCGATCTGTACTTAGTTCATGAGAACTAAAGAGTTCTGATGAACTAAAGTGCAGATCGGCAAAGTACGGCAAAGTACTTGGTGTGAAAGCGCCTCTTGTGTCGCTTTGACTACGCAACTAATGTAGGTTGAAGTTCAACTTTAGTTCTCTTTAGTCAAGCTTTTTTGAAGCCAAACATTTATGTCAAAGTGTTTATTATCCCTATTGCAAAGTCAACATTGCTACAGCCAGTTAGGGTTAGCTAAAAAGTACACTAAAAGATGTTTCTGAAAACATTGTGGCTTAGAAACTGGCATTTGATTGATATTTCGAGTGGAGTTCACTTAACTTTGACATTGATTAAGGCTGTGGCTTTGTTGCTCAATGTTTACCAAAGATGTAATTCTGCTTTCCTACAAGAAGCGATTGTTTAATTCCACTCTTTGCTAGTGTTGAATGAAACTGACTGGAAACAAACATCCCCCGATGTTAATTCCAAGCATTTATGTCCATGCCCTTTAAGGAGTGAGAGACACTTTAATTTAGCCTGCATTTAATGGCACTTTCTCTCCAAATGAGTATTGAGCACAAAGCATTTCCTGTTTGCTTTGTTCAACTTATGATCCAGACTCCAAACAAATATGGATTTGTTTTAGAAACGGAGTAGATCAATAAAGAGCTTTGACATTCTCACTTGTTAATCCATCAAATGTGGGCTATTACTTTTGATTGGATGGACTTTAGGTTGAAGGTGAAGGAGCTTTGCTAAGAAGAGGCTAAACAGTGAAAGTGCAAAAATGTAAAATCTTGCCAAGTATATTTGTCTAATTTCTACATTAATAATAATAATAATTCCTTACATTTATTATAGCGCTTTATCAATGACTCAAAGCGCTTTACATATACACACATTACACATACACATACATGCAATGGTCACTGTGGACAATACCCACAGGAGCAAGTTCAGGTGAAGTGTCTTGCCCAAGGACACACCGGCTTTACAGACGCAGCAGCGGCGGGTTTCACCCCTTGATCTGATGATCATTGCACAGCGCACTGCGCCACACCGTCCATCTTCACGCCTCGAGGTCATCGGGGCGCTTTTACAAGTACACATTGATATTATACATGTACTGTGGACAATACCCACAGGAGCAAATCCGGGTGAAGTGTCTTGCCCAAGGACACAACGGCCTGACGCAGTGGCGGCAGGAGCGGGTTTCGAACTGGAGTTCCCCAGCACTCCCCCTTGATCTGATGATCGGATGCACAGACCACTGCGCCACCCGTCCCACATTACATTACATGTTAGACGCTTTTATCCAAAGCCACTTTCATACTCAGTACTGTGGGCAATCCCCACAGGAGCAATTTGGGTTAAAGTGTCTCACGGACACAACGACATGCTGACTGCAGTGGGACTCGACCTTGCTACCCCCCTGATTCGAAGTCCAGCACTCTACCCACTGCGCCACAGCCGCCCCTCTAGTCAGAGTATGTCATTACACTTGATATAAGACCTAATAAGTCTTTTGTTTAGCCAAGGCATCTTTTTGAATCAAAGTATCTTAAAAAAATCTTGTTTTATAGGAGAATCACCATCAGAAAACGTCTAAGCATTTCTGTCTTGTAACAAATTCTCTAATTCTTGTCACATAGTTCAAATTCAGCTAAATACCAGATCCCATTTATCTCAATATCCCATCTTTACTTCAAGAAATCTTACCAAGCCATTTTGTACTTGTTCTATTGGCAGACTTGTTCACTTAATAAAAGCGAAAACACCTTGTTTTTATTCTACATTTCCTTGTTTTTGGAGCAGCATTTTTTTAGTGCAACGTGGCCTTCAAATGTTAAAAAGTAATTCATTAATAAAGGGCACTACTTCCACTACAGTAATAGGTCTGGACTTGATCAATGCTGCTCTGAGTTCTCTGAATCGTGTTCCGGGAAGATAAGCGGTTGAACTGAGGAAAGGTCATCCTGATGAATCATCAAGATGCCATTTTAACGGACGTTATTCACCAACGCATGGATTTTTCACATCCTGGCAACCATTCATTTGGCCTTCTTCATGGATCATCATTAGTGACCACTTGTAAACCACTTTCCTCTGTGTCATCACAATTAAGATATCCAGAGGGGAGTATTGGATTACATGTAACGGTTTTATGTAATCAGGATACAAATAAGCAACTGTATTCCCTTTTAACTAATCAGATTACTGTTATACTTCCAGACATTGGGGACTATTAGCAGGCTTAAAATGTTAGTCAAACCTAAAAAGACCATCTAGTGTTTGTTGTAAAGGATCAGATGTTATCTCTTCTCTGTGAGCGGTTCTGTTCTGTAGGATAATACTTTAAGTGTGAATACTTCTACTGCCTGAATCTGCTTCATGGTTTCTTTGCTTCATTTGTTCTGTGTTTAATTCAGCAGGTGAACCTACATGTTCATAAAGTAGTGTGTGTGAGCTTAACTGTGTGTGTTCAACTAAAACGGAGCATTTTTTGTCAGCTCCGATTTTATTTCTGCTGTTTTAAACTGTAGTATTTTTCACCGATGGGAACTTGGGTCCCCCTCGCAGCGAGGGGGACCCAAGTTCCCATCGGCAAAAACACATGGGTTTGCTATCCTGGCTCCAAGATGGTGGAATGAGCTCCCATTGACATCAGGACAGCAGATAGCTTGCACATCTTCCAGCGCAGACTGAAAACTCATCTCTTTCGACTCCACTTCCAGCGTTAGAACTATTAACAAAGCACTTATATACTAACAAAGGACTGGCTTACCTAAAGCCAGTTGAGTAGCACTTGAAATGTTTGGCTCTATGAAACCTGATGTACTTATATGATTCTGTTTTCTCCAAGGTTGTGTCTTCCTGGTCGAATGTACTTATTGTAAGTCGCTTTGGATAAAAGCGTCAGCTAAATGCAATGTAATGTAATGTAGTATGTGCTCATGTGTTTCAGTGTTGGTGTATCGGCTACTGCCTGAATTTGCTTCATGAAAGGCAGGTAACTAGACATTTTAACATATTTCATTTTTAAAGAAACCCTCCCATCCCTGGCGTTCAGTCGTCTTACTGTCTTAATATTATTTCTGTCTTTCGCATCACCTTCCTGAGCATTCACTTCCCTCTGGCTGCTACGAGTTGTTACAGACTCGAAGTGATTCACACTCGCTCCAAAGGGACTATTTCTGAAAAGGTGGAAGTGTGAACTCTCTCACATTTCCAATAAAACGCCTAGTGCTCTGGGGAGGGATAAAACTATCTGAGATGACTCATATCATTGAGCTGGAGGGGGTGGACATGAATAAATTAGTCTGGGGGAACAGGAGAATAAACTCCACTTTATACGGTATATCCATGTCAGACTCCGTTGTAATGCTTTTAATGTGAACAGTTTGCTATCAGTGCCCAATCTGCATCGCATACATTAAGCTTGGCACCATATGACCAAAGCATGACCTGAAACCAAAGGGAATATTTAGCCCCTTAACCCCTCACTGTCTCCATGCTTTAATGTTCAAACATCTCTTTATTGTTCTCATACTGTGCTGCAGCTCCTCTCTTCACCCTCTGTCTGAAACCAGAGCTGCTCTGATTGGTTAGCTGGCCGGCTCTGTTGTGATTGGTCAACCGCTTAGAGACAATAATAATAATAACTTTATTTGTATAGCAGCTTTCATACAGGGCATTGCAGTTCAAAGTGCTTTACATCAGTAAGAAATAAGACATCAAATCAGCAAGAGCAAAGCATAAAGTGGGGTAAAATAATTAAAAATAAAAACATGGGGAATAAAACATAGAGAAATAGTGCAGTATAATAGTGTAACGTCAGTAAAATGCTTTGGTAAAGAAATAGGTTTTAAGCTGCCTTTTAAAAACGTATTGGCTTCCCTAATATTGTTGGGTAACAGTTTTGGGGCGTAGTTTCCAAAGGCTGCTTCACCGATCTTCTTATGACTCTTTCTGGTGACCTCTAATAGACCTGCATCTGATGCGGGTGTGTAGTTCATTAGAGAGTCAGCCATGTAGCTGGGTCCTTGTCCATTTAGAGCTTTGTATGTGAGGAGAAGCACCTTCAAATCAATTCTAGAAGTTACAGGAAGCCAGAGTAGAGTAGCTAAGACAGGACTAATGTGTTCCCTCCTTTTGGTATTCGTCAGTAGTCTAGCTGCAGAGTTTTGAATGAGCTGGAGTCTTCCAATAGCTTTCATGGGGAGGGTGAATAGTGCGGGACAAGGGGAGAGGTCCCGCCGCTTTAGCCACGTACAACGTGTTGGAGCACTATATAAACTATATAACATACTACAGGGGTTACATAATCCTGTTACATGTAATCCGTTACACACACACCACCCCCCCCCCCCAAGCCTGATTCCCATATTTCCCCGTGTCCTCCTTTAGACGCTCCTCACCTCCATGGAGAAGCGTCTCTGCTGGGCCTTGCTGTGAAAGACGAGATGTGAAGGAGACTCAGCGCCTGGCGTTGTTGGTTCGGGACTCGAAGGACTGGCATCATGAGACGTAGGACCCAGTCTGTCCTGAGTGAGGCCTGAAGGAGGAGAAACATAATCAGTCAACATCTGCAGATTGGAGACAAAGGGAACAACAATGGTGTTGGTGGTGGAGTATAGCAGTGAGTTTATGGCCCATCACTGGTTTGGTTTCAGGCTCTTATCAACCTTATCAATGGTATCACTGGCTGGTATGGTAACTTGACCGTGCAGTCAAAGTCACAGATCGCTCGCCTGGTACAGACTGCTATGAAAATGATGGGGGTTAAAAAACACCCATCTCTCCAAAACATATACGAGCAGTCCATTATCAGACAGGCAAACAAATGGTGTCTGATCCCACCCAGAATTCCAGCTCCTACCTTCTGGTAGAAGATTCAGGGTTCCCAAGAGCAGGCTGATCCGCTATAAGCTCTCATTCCTACCTGTCCATTAAGCTTCTTAACGTTCACATGAAATGAAATGTTGTCAAATGTACTTTTTAAATGTTGGCCATGAGGGTTGTGCAATAGGTCGCCATTGTCAGTATGTGTGTATTGTGTTTGTTCAAACGGTGTATGACTGATGATATGATGATGCATTTTATTTATATAGCGCTTTTCACAACTCAAAGACGCTTTACAGTATGAGGGAGGGTAGACAAACAAGGCAAAACAAGTATGTAAAAAATAAAAAGGCAGTCAAGAGGAAGTTGATTGAGAGGGGGGGGGGGGCTTATGGGTAGACAGAGTTGAAAAGATGTGTTTTGAGGCGGGACTGAAAGACTGTGAGGGACTCAGAGTCACGGAGATCTTGGGGGAGGGAAGTCCAGAGCCTAGGAGCTGCCACTGAGAAGGCTCTGTCCCCAAAGCTGCAGAGTGTGGATGTGGGAATGGATAGGAGTCCGGCTGCGGTGGATCTGAGGGACCGTGGGGGTTGATAAGGAGTGAGAAGGTTTGTGAGATAAGGGGGGGCCAGATGGTGGAGGGCTTTGTAGGTGAGGACCAGAACTTTGTAGTTGATGCGATGGGAGACAGGAAGCCAGTGGAGGTCTTTGAGGACTGGGGTGATGTGATGCGTGAGGAGACGTGCAGCTGCATTTTGAACCCGTTGGAGTCTGTTGAGGGATGTAGTGCTGATGCCGTAAAGAAGTGAGTTGCAGTAGTCGAGGCGGGAGGAAATGAAGTATGACTGATGATATGTCTCTTAATGTCCACTATGTTTGTATATGTACATGTATGCGGAACTGCAGGACGGAGTCCAGAACAAATGTCCTTACGGGGACAATAAAGTATATCGTATCCTTCAATAATATCTGTCGTTGTTCTCTGGTGGGTAAAAGGTTTATAGATCTGCGGTAAGGGGTTAGCCTATAGGGCAGGTATAGACCATTGTGTCCCCTCGACCACCAATGAAAATGTGTCTGGAGCCACATTCCATCACAGCTTGTGAATTTGTATATATAGCTTTACAAACAATAATTTGAAATGTTCCTAAACTTATACTCCCACAGTCAAGACATGTTGTGTTATTTTCTATGATCCTTTAACTTGTAATAACAAAGGAGAACACTTATGAAGAGGAGAAAGAAACACTTGTGTGGGCGTCCTTTAAAATAAACAAAGCACAGAGCCTATTTGATTCCTGTGGAATATAAATTAAACGTATAGATGCAGTCTAACAACTTAAGAACTTCCACTTATTATGCTTTTTTGGGGTTTTCCTTTACGTTAGTGTGTTATATAGGTTTTGTAAACAGGTGTTCCCTGCATTGAGTGTTTCTCTCCCGTTGGACTCCTTTGTTCATTTATATAGTGACATCACTACGTTACACTCACCCTTCTATTGACGAGCGCTCCAACACATTGTACGTGATAGGCTAAGGGGCGGGACATCTCTAAGCTGTTGACCAATCACAACAGAGCCGGCCAGCTAACCAATCAGAGCAGACTGGGCTCTGGTTTCAGACAGAGGGTGAACGGAGGTGCTGCAGCACAGACAGTATGAGAAAAATAAAGAGCTTTTTGAACATTAAAGCATGGAGACATGAAACAGGAGAGACACTAAGTACATATATGAACCTTAAGATGAGTACGATATGTCCGCTCTAATTTTGTTGTACTTGGTGCAATGAGAAATAATGAATTCTATTCCAAACCATAGCTGACATATTCTCAAAACTGCAAATAAACATCTACATTCGAACAACATGGAGACTAGGAGAACTGTGGCTGGTTAGCTTTGACGGCAGGCGTCTACTAAACGCTGTATGAGATTATTGAAGTGGACTCATTTCAGAGAAGAGGGTCATCAAGACGACCAGGAGATTAAAGTTCAGGCAGCTGGAGCGAACGTGTCAGACAATTAAAGTGTGAAGAGCTGTGTGTGGGAAGAATGGGCTTTCATCATACACCAGCTTCTCATGTGTTTCTTCTTTTAAATGAAACAGCTTGAGCTCCGTTTTAAATGCGAGTGTTGGACCCCCGCAGCACAGGTATAGGAAGTGTGGGGTTTGAAGTGTCTTCATTTGATCTGCAGCCTCCAGGTGTGTGCATTTCTGTCTCAACCTTTCCCATACAGGGGTGACAAAAAGAAAAAGCGCTCTAAGTCCTTGTTTCCATGGGGATAGTCAAAGGGAGCAAGTCTCGGTGTTAATGAGGAAGTCTCATTCATTGCCTGCCACACACACACACACACACACACACACACACACACACACACACACACACACACCACACACAATCACACACACACACACACACACACACACACACACACACACAGCACACACACACACACACACACACATCACACACACACATCACACACACACACACACACACACACACACTACACACACACACAAACACACACACACACACACACCACACACACACACACACACACACACACACACACACACACACCACACACACACACACACACACACACACACACACACACACACACACACACCACACACACACACACACACCACACACACACACACACACACACACCACACACACACCCCACACACACACACACACACACACACACACACACACACCACACACACACACACACACCACACACACACACACACACACGAGATATGGATGCCTGCTTGACACCTTAGGGAAAAGCACAATCCAATATGTTACGCCACATGATGCTTTTGTAGCGTTTCTATTCCATTCGTTGCCCGTCTGTGGTTACAGCGGAGAGGAAACAGAGGCAGAGAGGAAAGAAAATAATTGTGTGGTGTTGGCTTTTACAAACACTGGCAAAATGAACCCAATTGCACACACAACCCTCGATGAAAAATGCGTAAACAAGAATAGAAGCCTACAGTAAATGTTAAAGAGTGGTGGTGACGTATTTTATACCCGATCGTTAGCATAGCAAGGTTTCCATCGACCAATGGGATTTCCCCATTGGATTTCAGTATAATACAGAAATGAGTTTTGTGGCAAACCCACGTTTATGTGATATGAGTTATGTTCAGCAGGATAATCTCCACATTAACCCCACTTTCTGTGATTTTCCATAAACGTAAATGCAATCGGTCGAAGAAAAGAGCTAACGCAATCCAATGAGCAAACAACATAACGGTTACATGGCTGACCGTCAACAACGCTAAGCTAAAGGTGGCTAATGTTCGGCATGATGATGTTTAGAAGTCTCAACAAATGTGAAAATCTTTCAAGCTTGTGCTAACCACTTATTTCAGTTGTCTTGCCAAAAACAATGTCAAAAACCCATTGACTTTGCAACGAGGGAACAGGAAGTGGTAAAATGCTGACTCGTTACTGCACCACTCAATCGTGATGTCAAGAGCACGCTGCTGGTATAATGGTAAACAACATTGCAGTTTGTTTGCAAATCTAAAAACAGATCTAAATGGAAAGTGAGGATTGGATTTTGAATTGGCACGAAAAAGGACTTCAAATGGATGCTTATGTCTAACTGTGTCTGCTCGATGTGTAGTTAGGCCTCTGTTTGATAAGTATGCGCCATAACCGCTTTAAAAGGTAATCGTACGTCAATGTTGTGTTTTCTTTTGTAACTTGGCAAGTAATGCAAGTCAAAATAAAACTCTGCTGAGGAGCTTTAACTGACGCTGGGATAAAACAATATTGTGGTTGTTGGATGAGAAATGAGATGAATGGGAATGGCAGCATATGGAGCTTTTCCTGCAAACCAACTGTGTGTTTTGGACCAAAGCCAGTCAACATAACCAAGATAAGAACATCTCACATGCTTTGCTATAAAAGCTTTCTGACTTAATATTCAACGGTGTGTCAGAGGGCTTCAGGATTTAAAGGCAAGATGGTGTTGAACTGCGATAAGTAAACTCATGATGGCGCTGATGTGTCAAAGTGTGATCACTCGGGCAGTTTATTTATTCCACTAATACATAATGAGTGAACAAGGAGATTTTAATGTGAAATACAAGGCAGTCATTCCAGGCAAACACTCATAAACACACACACTTTGTTTCTGCATCTCATGTGTGTATTGTGTGTATTTGAAGCCGATGCTAATTAGTTCATCACGCTCACTGATCTGAGACCGATTCACTTTTTGTCTCTTCGTCAAGCTGCTCTTGTTTTTTATTTAATGAAATGAAAGGATCTAATTATCTGATGAAGAAAAGTGAAATGAGCCGTCTATCTAATACGATTTGAATGCACAGTTATGCATGTGTGCGTTTCCTTATCTCATGGTAAGCAATAGGAGTGGGTATTATGGCATTTACTCATGTACTGTATTTAAGTACAATGATGAGGTACTATACCAAAGTATTTACTTTTCATTCCGCTTTCTACTCCACTAATAAACGTACACATTTACAAGATAGCTTTTCCAGGACCATTTTATCCAGGCATGTTGTGATTATATCTTTGCAAAAATGTCCGATGATCTCTAAACAGCCACGGTTGTTTTGTGCATAACGTGGTGAGAGCATGACATAATCCGTCACATGGGGGGGAGGAGAGGTTGATAGGACAGATGAACAAGAAAGGCTTAGAGAGGAGTGTAAACATAATCAGTCTCTCTTTGAGCGTCCTACACTCACTCACCCTTTCTTCATCATCGTCCTCCATGTCCGTCTGTCTGTCTTGTTCCCTCTTCTCTGACCTTCAGCAGCAGACAGTGAGGCAGACAGATGGACTCGGGGGGGTTACAATTACAAATCCAGCTGCTGCTCTCTGTCAGGCATATATTCAACTCTATATTCTCAAACTCTTTATTCGCAGGAGGTAGAGGCCTCCATTGACTCGAGTGTTTATAATCTGATGAAAACACTACATTTGTGTTTTAAAGAGGACATATTATGCTCCTTTCCAGGTTCATATCACTATGTTGTGCATCTACAGGGGGTCAAACTCAAATACACAGAGGGCCAAAATTAAAAAAATGGGTACTAGTCGAGGGCCGGACTGGTTCAATGTTTATTGCAGAACTTATTGAAATGAACTTATTGCACATATTAAACCTGGAACTAACAAAGCTTCAATGATTGCCTATAAAAACAACATTAAACATTAAATAATCAGCTGCATTAATTTCTTATGGCTCTATCTGCAGCTTTTCCAAAGTACATTTTTCCACAGGCCAACAACAACTTCAACAAAACTATTTCCCTCAAAGAGAAACCAAACATGCCCTGTTGTCGTGAGAGAGAAAGTGCAGAAGGAAACATGTAAACTCAGTGTGCTGCTCTGTGATGCTAGCTCAAGCAGATACTTGGCATCTCATCTTGGGTGCAAGGTCATCAATGTTTAAATCAATCAATCAATAGGATACGGCTGTAATAGGCCTAAGGCCGTTTAGTCGCTCATAAATAAATGAGTAGATCACTGATTCTTTATTTACTATGGATGCTGGCAACAGTCACATAGTCCAAAGTGAAGGTGATGTTTGACCAGTAGTGGTCGAGGCGGGATTTGAGACAGTTAACCGTCTTGGATGTGACAACGCTTTCTGGCAGATCATTCCACAAGTCAACCACACGCAGGCTGAACAAGTTGCGGCGGATAGCCAGTCTTGAATGTTTGGGCTCAGGTTCTGATCTGAGGAGACCTTCAGGATGGAGGGAAGGTGTGCGTGCAAAATACCGGCGGGCCAGATCTAATAGTAATTAGAAATGATCCTGCGGGCCGAAATTAAATCCACCAAGGGCCTGATTTGGCCCCCGGGCCTTGAGTTTGACACATGTGATCTACAGTGACATGTTTCCATGCTTTAATGTGGATGGTAGCCTTTGTAGACCATTGTCAATCACAAGAACCTCCAACACACTCTTTCCACCCTCTCAGATTATAATCTTGTGTTCTTTACTAGTCACAACATTTCTTATGGCATCAAAGACATGACATTTCACTTAAATGAACCCCAACACATTCATACATGTCTACAGGCAAGGGGAAACCCCACACAGTATAATAGGGCCTCTTCAATACACCTACAGTGACCTTTCATCTCACATGATGCTCTTCTCTCCTCCTAGCAATTTGTCCTTTGCAATAAATATAAATCCAAGCTTTATTTCCCGACTTCAAAGCCATACACATGATTGCAAAGTGTAGGATAGAAGTGTTAACCATCCTGGTGTCTTCACGGTAATACATTAGAAAGCACTTGAAAACCTAATTCTGGATGCATTCAGTTCCTTTGCATTATCTACCCCTACTCATCCAGCCATGACCCTCATTTCCCTTTGAAGCATGCTTATCTGCGTGACTAAGCTTCAGTTGAGGTACAATTCATAGCCTCAAAATACCCTGGTTAATCTGAGAGGGTCTGCCACAGACACAGAAGAAACGAAGGCTTTTGTATTTGGTATTAAGAACCTGAATGAGATTGTGGTTCATTATTAGACACGAGCTGTTCATTGGCACAGAGATCAGACACAAGGAAGAAGAGCATTGAGGACTGTGCTTTATTCACATATGGTTCACTACATCGGATAATCGGAGCGTAGAGATCGGAGGACATTTATCGAAGGGTATATTTTGGGATATATTTGTTTGTTTATTTGCCTCAATAGCAGCAGTATTACTGAGATGGATCTTCATGAAATGTGTGGAAGGGATGGACCACGGAAGAACCCATTCAATCTGGATCCAATTTGAAATGGCAGATACACACATCTTGTGATTGCTCATTATTCTGAAACCCCTGTAGTCTGACTGAAAGCAGATTGAGTTGGAAACGCCAAAATACAAATAGCAATTTTTGGGGAAAATACACACAATTATATTTGGTTTTCGACTGTGGTGAAGGCATGACACCCCAGAGTACTCTTTGCCTTCGTTAGTTAGTTACATTTGGGAATGAGGGCAAAGAAAGCCAATCAGAGGCAGAGAAGCCTTTCCTGTCATTTTGAATAATAATTAGCCGTTTTATTATTTTCTTTCCGTTTAATTTATTTTACTTTTAGAGCAGGGGGGCTTCTCAAAAAGTGGGTGCTTTTTTTAGATAACAGATTTTCGGACAAATGTGAATCAGTACTATTGGACTTTTTTTTCAATGTTTCGTACACATGGGAAACTCAACACAGCAGAATTAAAACACTTATATAAATATATCTTTTAATTTTGAATATATTAGGTGAGGGAGATGGGGGTTTCTTACCCTGAGTGTGCCGTATGTTGAGCTCGTTGATCTGCTCGGTGAACTCGTTCTCCTCGATGGTTTCAGTGCGAGGAACAGAAAGAGAGAAACGCCTCTTAAAGTTCTTCATCTTGTTCATGGTGCTGAGGAACAGACTCTGAGAGAAGAACGAGACGAAGAGAAAGCAAGAAATCACCATAAGATATACAAATAAACTTAAATGCATTCGGTACATGCATCAACACAGTCTTTCCATTGCTTGGGTTAGGGTTATAGTTAAGGGTTATAGTTAAGGGTTAGGGTTATAGTTAAGGGTTATAGTTAAGGGTTATAGTTAAGGGTTAGGGCTATTTCGATTTGATTAGATTTATTTCGAATGTGTAAAACAATAATACAAACATTTAACATTATACAATACAAAATTAAGCAGTGTCAAATTGATATACAAACATATTACTGATTCTAAATCATGAATAAACAAATAATCGACTTTATTACACATCCGAAAAAAGGGTGGGAAGAAGTTTACACGTATTTAATCCCACCCCTTCTCCCGAAAACTAAATTACTCACATATATACATACTTTTTCTTAAAGAAATGCATTTGTTTTAAAAAAACTAAACAAACATAAAACAACACATACATAAACAGATAAATACATAAACAAATAAGCAGATAAACAAACAAACAAACAAACACATAACAGAGGTAAATGATATTCAAGAAAAGATAAAATAACAAACCAAATAAATAAACTGTTATGATTAAACGGCGTTATACAACCAAACTGCACCCTCCATTATGTTTCAATGGAACATAATCACTTCCTGATGATTTGAAGATAGATTTAACATATGTTGTTTCTAACCACGACACACACTACAAGGACTTTCTGAATGCAACACACTTGTTTTATATATGCACAGAACATCTTGTGCTGTAATAGTAGAAGGAACTAAATTGTAGACACTCCCCGGTACACGGCCTATGACACGAGATGCGTAGCTTGCAGCGAAGAAGGCTCTTTATGAGCAGCTTGACCGAAGCCAGTCTCCTGCATCATCTGATAACGAGGCAGGGAACAGCAGGAAAGCAGCTGATCAATATACCCTCTCTCTGCGTGGGTTACGCAACAACCAACAGCCTTTTTCTCCTCGTCTTTTCTCCGCTCGTCTTGTTGTTCTCTTCAATTCTCTCTGTGTCTGTTTGCTTTAGAGATCGGTGTCATGGGGTCTTCATGATCCCTTCACTGACACTGATGTGTGCTTGTGTCTCTGTTTCTGCTCATTATTGGAAAACATGTGTGCGGGGGGGTCAATTACAGCAAGTCTCTACATTCCCTACTGTTATTTTTAGGCCTCTATAAGCCGTCAGGATATAACAATGTTTGCGCAAGCGTGGCATTGTTGTCGGATCCTCTCGCCTACAGCATACCATACACACATGCAATAAGCACAAAAACATGCACACAAATCTACAGAAACCATATTCAAAATACCCAAAGTTGTCCACTAAGGGTCTAAGGACAGAGTTACGTATAGTTGTACCTACGGCGAATTGTAACTTGTGATATTGGGCCATCAATACAATCTGACATTGATTCATCTGCAAAAGCGCTTTGGTGCATTAAAAGCAAAGTGAGAATTATCCATTACAACTTTCTTTGTATGCATTAGCAATGCATGCTATGATACAATATAATATATCTATGCAATACATACTAATGAGACTAGCATGCACATGGGATGTAAAGCAAACCAATATAAAGGTCAGTTTATTGGTGCTTGCCTTAAACTGCATAGATTGCAGATTTTAGCTTTTTTAAATGTTTATAAATGCAATGTACAAACAATGGATAGACTTTAAATCATGGCATCTTGTACAAATTAAATATATTAATGGCCAAATGTAAAGTTAAATCATCACAGTACCAGACAAGATGTAAATAAAGGGATAACTCATTGGTTTAAAATCATATTTCATCAACCACATGTTACACTGTTTTAAGAAAGGACGCAGTCGTTTTACCCAAAATGCCGGTATACTGTAAATATGTGACCTGCTCTATCGAAATCAGTCGCATTGCCCCGAAGACACATTTTGAGTTGTAATGTAATAATAATAATGCATTTGATTTATATAGCGCTTTTCACAACTCAAAGACGCTTAAGTTGTACTTGTTGAGTTAAGTTGAGTTGTACTGTTGGAAAGAGGAGATTCCTAGCTTTCTAACGATATCAGGATTGTTGTTGTACTCCAAATATAAGCACATATTGCATTTATCATCTGAATTTGCCGAAACAAGTTTAATATTCTGAAAGCCAAGACTTAGTTTCATTGAAATCAGATGAAAACAAACCTGCCGTGTTATCTATGATTACTACATGCCTTGTTTCATAATGTCAGAGGAGGGCGGCGCTGTGGAAGAGCAGAGTGGCGAGTGAGAGCTGCCATCTTCCCTTTTCAAACATATTTATCGTGTGATTTTGGAAATACAAGTTTCATATTCTGAAAGCCAAGACTTTGTTTATTTAAGATCAAACAAAACGCCTGAACAACTATTTTTTTACGCAAATCCACGATTATTTTGAAATGAGCCGTTGCGGCGACTTCTGCCAGATTTCGATAGAGCGGGTCAGATATACATTTTTGCCACCAATGAAAGTATGTAAAAAGCAAGTATGCCTTTCTCTTACAATGATACAATACAACGGGTCTTATCGTAAGTCAATTATAAAAGTAGCATATATTTCTAGATGAAACCCCTTCCCAGTATTATCCTAAATGTTTACAATACCCAAAAATGGTATGTGTGGGAGGGAGGCGTGTGGCGCAGTGGGTAGAGCGTTGGGATCAGGGGGTCACAGGTTCAATCCCCACTGCAGTCAGCATGTCGTTTGTCCCTGAGACACTTCACCCCAAATTGCTCCTGTGGGGATTGCCCACAGTATTGAGTATGTGAGTCGCTTTGGATAAAAGCGTCTAACAAGTGTCATGTAATGTAATGATATCCAGCCTTTCCCTTCAGCACAATCTTTAATGAGTGTTTTCACCGCCCACGCCCTAAGCCCAGAGTCTTTATTTACACTCATCCTCAAGGACAGTGATTCTCAAACTTTTTTCAATAATGTACCCCCTGATCAGCGCAAAAAATATTTGTTAGGGAAGAAAAGCCTATATAAAGAGGTACAGCACAGCGCTGCACCATCAGAGTCTGATTTATTAAAACAACAACCTTGTAACTGAGAAACACTTAAATGCTACATTTCAAATGTTTACAATCCGTCACTAAATTCATGGCAAACCAATTTTAACATCATGCAATAACACTAAGACGACATTAGCTGCATTGAACTAATCTTTTTAATAAGTTGTACAATGTAGTGAGAAACATGGGCTTGTGCTTCACTGAGGATCTTTGTCATTCTGACAGGGAGGCAACCTGCAGTTATTACACTTTGCGTTTTGAAATATGTGTAACTCTGTTAATATAAAACCCACACTGCTCACACTTCGTTACTTTTCCTAAAATTGGTATTTTTTGTTGTTGTCATTAACATAACAATACATCTCACGTACCCCCTGCAGTACTCCAACGTACCACTCGGGGTCCGCGTACCCCCATTTTGAGAACTACTGCTCAAGGATACACACAATACAAATTGGTAAGAAAAACTAAATGTTATCAATTTTGATTGTCTTTCAACCGGTCTGTACTTGTTATAACTGATATTGATGAAACTGATTTGCTCGACTGTCTCAAATTGATTGTGTGCATTGCTTGAATTTTACTTAACAGACTGCATGTGGTTTGTCTTGTGTGTCATGTTTTGCATTTTGTCTTTTTGTTTATGTATGTCTGTAAGTTATTGCTATTGTCGGGACCCCCTTGAAAACGAGATGGTGCATCTCAAGAGGTTTATCCCAATCAATAAACATTTCTATATATATATTGTTTACAAGAAAACCGACTTCCCAAAGTGAACCTTGTGCTAGAGTGCTATTTTATTACGAAATCCTTTTATGTTTTGTCTCAAACAAAGGTGATTTAAGTAAAACAAGTGAAAGGATTGTGATTCGTGAAGATGGCACCACATTAGAGATGCACTCTTATTTGTAGAGGCGTAAGCTACATAAAGGTGTGAGATATTCTCAAAGGCCTGGGAGTAAAAGAACAAACACAGAGGAGTGTGGGTGGCAGCCAGAAATTGAACCGTGAGTGAAGGAAGCAGCTAAAAAAAGAGACGGTGGGAGGAAATAATCCTCGGATCAGTGGAGAGAAAAGGAGCAGCTTCTAGAAATCGATTAAATTCAGCTCATGAGACTCAATGGAAAATATCCTCTCTGTTAGAGAAGGCCTTTTATGTTTTTGGGGGGTTTTCTCTTTCCTGTAGTGCGTTATAGGTTTTAGTGCATGTAAATGGTCACAAAGGAGTTTCTCTCCCACACACTCCTCATTGGACTCCTTTGTTTACTTCTGTATCATAGTGACATCACTATCTAACACTCGCGCTTCTGTTGGCTATAGCGCTCCAACACATTGTAGGCTAAGAGGCGGGACATCTCTAAGCGGTTGACCAATCACAACAGAGCCGACCAGCTAACCAATCAGAGCAGACTCTGGTTTCAGACAGAGGGTGAAAATAGGTGCTGCAGCAAAGCATGGAGACATGTCACTCAAAAGCAGTTTCACTTGGTGTTTTGAGATTGTACATTTTCTGACTACATGTATGTATGTAAGGTTATACAGTTACCTTCGTTTGTATCCGATGTATTACTGTTACATGTAATCCATCATCTTCATATTTCTAGAGTTGCTTTGGGTTCAGTAAATCAAATCAAGTTTATTCATATAGCCCGATGCAACAAATCACAAATTAGCCTCAGGGGGTTTTACAATCTGGTCTTTTCCTTCATCGTGTGGATAGTCTGACAGCTGTACCATATGAGAACATTGTGGAACGTGAACCTGACAAGCAGTTATCTGTCACACACAATTTCAGGGGAGGCTATATGAAACTGGTTTGATAAAAAGCGATCAGATGAAGCCGATTAAAGGGTTAACAATGGAGGAGGAAAGAGGCTTAGTGTGTAGAAAGAAATCAATAGAGGCTGGTTAAAGCGCCGATGTGTTGGCTGATATTTATCTTCTGTT